AAATATATTTGTTCGTGGTGGAGTAATTCGGAATATTTGGCCTCGGTAGCGTGGTTGGGTGGGCCACTAGCTTGTGCGGGCCACTAACTTGTGGATTACGTTATCTATTTCCACCTTTATTAAAAGGATTATTCTATTCTTTCCTGCCGACTAGAAGCACTAGTTTTTTACTATTAAAATAAAGGCCTACTCCGGCAATATATAGGAATATATTAACCCTAATAAGCTATTTTCTAATAATTCTATAAAACTAAATAAGCCTGGCCGGCCTGCACTACCGGCAGCAGTAAGCAGCGCGGAAATATAGACCCCGGCGGCTAAATTAGATTAGAAATAAGCCTAAGAAAATGCTAAAAAGAAGGAAGATCGCTATAATACTAAAATTAATACTATTAATAAACTCTAAGTCTATATTATTAAAACGGTTGCATCGCACTATATACTATTTATTAATAAGGCTAAGACTGTATATAAAATACTAATTAGCCTTAAGAATTAGGTGGCTCTATTTAATTAGCTATACTACTATAAACTCCGTATACTATAGTAGCAGTAGTAAAAGTTTCTAAAGGATTTAAATATTAAATAATAGCTATAGGAATAGACAGTTTTTTATAGAAAATACGAAGAATATTAACTGCCTAAAGCCGCCGATAATTATCTATAACTCGACTTCCTGCTCTCTATTTAGCTAAAAAATCCCGAATTTTCGATATACTAGCGTAATAAAATACACTGCTATATAGCTAAGGCTAAGAATACTCTACTACTTTAGAAACTAGTTAATTTATTCCGTAACTAAAAATAGGAGGCTCTAGCTATTATAGGTAAAATTACTAGCTATTCTATATTTATAATAATACTTAACAGCGTAGAATTAAAGCTACTAAGTATACCGGCAGCTATATAGGCCGCTATAATAGTATTTATACTAGCTGCTATAACGGCCTCTATAATAGCCTCTAAAGCTAAAAATAAGCTTCTAGAATATATTTATAAAAAATACTACTTCTTCTAAAATTGCCTATATATTTATAAGAATAAACGGCTAAATAAATAGAAAAGCAACCTAGCTATAGCAGCTAAGCTTAAGGAAAACCTTAAGAATTAACCCGAAAAATAGCAGGCGATAGTTTAAAAGCTGCAGGAAATAGCCGAGGCCAAAGGGCCTAATACTAGATTAGTTTCTTACTTTATAATTACTATTATTCCGTATAAAGTATTCTATTTATTTACCTATAGCCTATATAACAGCGTGCTTCTTAACTATATAGTAACTACGCATATTTTTAACTACTAAAGCCGGTTTATTAGCGATCTAATACTATTAAATAATACTTACTATGCTAGCAGCTTAATAGTATTAATTGCTAGCTATAAAACGGCTAAGATTTCGCTATAAGGCCCTAATAGTAGCTATTTTGTCCTACTATTAGGGGCCGCGTATATTCTAGGATTTTACTATAGTATAGTCTTCCTTAGTAAGCTTAATAAAAAAGAGGTGTTTTAGTATAATAAGAAAAACTATTTATATAATTTATAATACGGATAAAAAGTTGTTTAGGCCCGTATTAAGCAATAAAACGGATAGAATTTTATCGAATTTTATAAAGCCGATTTAAATCTAATAAACTTAATACTATAGTAGCCGGCTAAGTAGATAGCTATATATACGGCTGTATATACGGCTAAGCAGCCGGCTAAGTAGCCGGCTAAGTAGATAGCTATATATATAGCTATATAGCCGGCTATATAAATAGCTATATAGCAGGCTATATAGCCTTTAAACTTTCTAAATATATAATAGCTAACGGCTACCTACTAAAAAAATTCTCTATTAAAGCCTATACTAGCCGCTATTATAGTAAATTATCTAAAAATTAACCTTACTATATTCCTAATATACTAAAGCTATTTTATATAACCTCTATAATACAGGCTATACTTAGCTTATCTAATTAAGCTCTAGCAGTCTATTACAGCTCTCGGCCTACTATAGTATCGCCGTGTCACGATAGCGCTACACGCGAGAGGTCGAGGGCTTAAAGAGGAGCGTTGATTAGGTGCTATGTATAATGCTACGTGGAGAATCAAGACGTTGTGTAAGGGACAGGAAGACGGGAGACGGGCCACCGGATATAAGGGCGTGGCCGAGCGCGTGGCGTACGGCCTCTATGCCGTTTCGGCGCGTGGCACGCGTGTACGCGAGGTCCTTACCAGATCAGGTAATAGGAAAAGAGGGCAGCCGGTAGGTGGCTGGAGCGGGACAGGATAGGAAGCGGAAGCGAGACGGGAGCGGAGCAGGGCAGGCAGGGCAGGAGGCCGGCCAGCGGTAGTAGGCCGGTGCAGATTGCTGGAGTTGTAGCAATCTGCGGCAGAATTTCGGTAGGTAGGGTGTCGCGGTCGATACCGTAACACGCCGCCTAAGCTACGCCGGCCCCTAGGCTCTATAGTATTTAACTACTGCTATTATTAAAAATATACTAAAAAGTAAAGTAGAACTTATTAGCCCTACTATTTCTAAATACTCTAAATACGCCCTAAGTAAAGCTAAGTAATAAATCTTTTATATACCTATTTTAAAGCCTTCTAGGCTATTTAAACTTATATAATTTAATATTATATATAAAGAATATAGCTATAATAATAATAGCTACGCCGTTTACTTCTTCTGCCCGTATATAAAAGTATACACGTGCCGAATATTCGGTAGTATAGCTAATCTAACCTAAATTATTATAGATAAAGTTGCCCTTATTAAAAAGTAATAGAACGTTACTATACGTACGCTATAAACTAATAGAAAATAATTACTCGGCAATAAATTTAGGGTATAGCACCGCAGTAAAGGCATTAAATTTAATTAATCTACGGCCTATAATACTATATAAAACAGTAGAGCAGAGCGCTCTAGCGGAATTATTATTAAAAAAGCCTATTATATATAAAAGGAAAGCTAATTACCTATAAATCTATAGCCGGAAGTATATAAAACAGCCGCTTATTTGCTTAATAAAACGCCTACTAAAGCGCTAGGTTGGAAAACTCTAATTATAGCCTTATAAGCTGCAACTAGCAGGCTAATAAACCCTAGCGTATAGCATCTACGCGTGTATAGATGCAGAGTATATCCGATATTAAAAAAGCTACTAAAAACGCCGAAAACAATACTCTAAGCAATTATTAGCTATTTTATTAGCTATAAATCGGCTAATATCTATAGAATATAGGTGCTAAGCAAGGATAAAGTTATTAGGGCACGGGATATTATATTTAACGAAACGCTATTTTATAACCTTTTATTAGAAAATCTGGCTGTATAACTACTAATTTAATAGGTAAAGTATATCCTAAATATAGAAAGCTTTTTAAAGCCGCCTATTATATAAACCTACTAGGTAATAGAGGATAATAATTCTAATAACCCCCTATTTAACGAAATTAAAGTATAACCCTATATAGAGTAATAGCAGCAGCCGCCTATATAACAGCAGCCGCCTATATAGCAGCAGCAGCCGCCCGCACAGCAGCAGCAGCCGCCCGGCTCGCCGAGCTTAAACAACGATAACTGCTCTAGCAATAGCCGTTCGGAGCCTGCCTTGCCTACGCTAAATCCTACGCCGTTACCTAGCCGTCTTCCTACGGCATCGCCTATAACCTCTGCTACGGTATCGCCTACAGCCTCTACTACGGCATCGCCTATAGCCTCTGCTACAGCATCGTTTATAGCCTTACTAATAGCCTTACTAACAGCCTTTATAGTAGCTACTATAGCAGCTTTTTTAAGGCCTACCTATAACTATAAGCCGGCTAAACCCTATATAGCCTTATATATAGCAATTATATAAGCTAAAGCTCTAAATAAACGCCTACCTACTTTATATACTATTTTTACTATAGGTATTACTAAAGGCAGCTATTAAAAATCCTTTCTAAAGCTACTTAAAAACTAGAAGCAGCTACTATAGCACTTTAAGCGCTAGAGGTTTATAGCAGCCGCTATTAAAAAACTTAATAGCTTAGTAGAATATAGTAGCTTTATAGCTATAAAAAAAATACTAGAAATAAAGGCCCTAGCTATACCGGTTACCTAGGTATTTATATATAAATTCGATGAAAACGGCTTTTTTATACGCTATAAAGCACGCCTATATATATACAGCAACTTTTAATAGCCTATAAAGCTAGATATCTATATAGCTATATTAGCCGGAAAAACCTTTTAGGCCTATATAGCTATTATCTATATAGCTAATTTTAATACCTAGTAGGCTAATACTATATTAACTTTTATAAACCTAGAGCTAGATAAAAAAGTATATATTTACTACCCTAATAGCTTCCGCTGTAAAAGCTACCTACTATATATAAATAAAGGCCTCTATAGCCTCCGCTATTCCCTTCTACTATAGCTAAACAATTAATTAAAAATACTATAGGAATTAGGGCTTAAAAAAGTGCCCGGCGTGCTATACCTATTTATTAATTAACACCTAATTATATTTTTCTATATAGACAATTTTATAGTATACTATATACTATAACACGGCGATAAATTAGCTAATTTTAAATATACCCTAATAGCTCGATATAAAATAAAAGATCTAGGGGAAGCCTTTTAGTTTCTAGGTATTTATATACTCTATAACTAAGCTGCCGGCTAACTATAGCTTTGCTAGGATTTATATATTAATAAAATTATAGGTAAATTCCGGTAGAAAAAGGCCCTTTATATATATACGCTAATAGCTATAAATAGCCTTATTTCCTATAAAGCTGCAGCAGCTAGTGCATTCTCTATTTATAGCTATTAATAGAAAATAGGGTTATTACTCTATATAGCTATTAATACACGGCCGGATATAGCCTATATAACTTTATAGCTAGCCGAATTTACTAGGAACCTATTGCCCGCTTACTACTATACTACTAACTAAGTACTTACCTATTTCTATTAAATAAGGGGATATATACTGCAGTATTCTACCTCTATAATTAACACTAATTAAATGCTTATACGAGCCAGCGATGCCAGCTTTGCCGACAACGTTGCTATACACCGAAGCTTACAAGGATATATCCTAAAGCTTTTTAGTGGCCCTGTTAATTGGAAGGCCACTAAACAAACGCACGTGACGAAGTCCTCTACTAATGCAGAGCTTACAGCTATATCGGCAGCTGTGTCGGAATTTATATAGTGGCAACGCCTATTTATACACCTAGATCTAGCCCTAGAGGGCAACTAGGCCATTTCTATACTGTGCGATAACTAGCAAACCATCCGGCTACTTACAACGGCCGGCAGCAAGCTTACTACTAGCCTTAAGCACGTTGATATACACAGCCACTGGCTACGCTAAGAAGTATAAGCCGGCAACGTACAAATTAAATGGATTGCATCCGAACGTATAATAGCAGACGGCTTTACAAAGGTCCTATCTCGACAGAAACACGAGAATTTCGTTCGACAGCTCAACCTCGTTGATATATTCGATCGCATCGGCCAGGGCACCACGGCCAATAAATCCGACGGCGACAAATAGCCCTACAAACACCACAAATTGCCAAGATTTCCTATATCTCATGCACTTCTACAGTCTTATCTCTCTTCCGAAGTTGGGGGGTGACTTAGAGTTGCTGGCATAGTAGCTGCCTATATGCCTAGCCAGTTACAACTTCTACAGAGAGGGGTTAGGGTACGGTGGCCTACCGTGCCTACCGTGCCTACTGCTGTCTCTAATTAGTGCTTCTGCCTACGCGTACAGTCACTTCCTACGTAGTATATAGTTTGGCCTTCGGGCCCCCGAAATAAGACAGAGTTCACGTCAATTTGCAACCTAAGTGATACCTACTGAAGTGTATGAGACTACCCTAGGTAGAGCGATACCGAGCACCTCCCCTAGCTTGAAGTTAGTGCGGCAGATGGGGCACCGGACGTGGTTTCCTGCGAAATCTGATGCCATGAACTTGGTGAGGCAAGAGGCGCCGAAGCGGTGGCCGCAGGATGTCGTGATCAATGGGTCAGGGCCCTCATCGTCAAGCTCCTCGGCGCAGAATAGGCAGTGCGTGCTGTAGTCAAGTTCTCCCGGTGCAACAGAATGAGGGGGTTGATGTGGGGGTTTTGCGTCCTCGCCCTCTGCGGAGGAGGCGGTGATGCCAGGAGAATTGCCATCGACGGTGTTCATCGCGCTGTGTTTGTAGATCAGTATTTGTCTTCGTTCTGATAGTTTCGTGAAGGTACATACGCGTAATTGAGAACGTGTTTGAATGATGTTGTCGTGACGAGGCGCTTGAAGGAGGTGTCCAAAGTTTCTACGTCACCTCAAAACGCGTCATCAGCGAGGCACCTCCGCATTCCGTATCCTCTCTCTATCACCCGCCATCACATTATCCCACGCTCCACCAGAAAGATACACATCCCGGACCTAAACAACCTCTCCTCTCCGCACTGCAGCGAAAGATCAACACTGCCGCTTCCCCTGCATCTCACTGCACCAACCACAGAGGTTCAAGCTCCTTCCACGGATATCCGGTCAGCAACACAACAGCGGACTTTCCCAGGTATCACTACAGCTTTGAGCTGCACCACTATCAACGCAACCACCAAACTTTCGGATAGCCCGGCTCTCCCCTGTCTACGCTGCATCGACCGAAGACTCAGGCGACAACGAACGTCCGAGATATCTCACATCCGACGCCCATGAGACGCGACCCATTTCCGGCAATATCTATCCCTTGGCCAAATCCCGAAACGCAAGCCAGCTCTATTCGCGTACATCCAGTCAGAGCCTATCGTGAGCCATGTTTCAAGCAACGACGGGGTCAAAAGAGAATGGAAAACCTGCTAGAGCAGGCCGAACGCACTGGGGTGACAGCATCGGCTGCGCGTGCACCTGCCTATGCTTGGGCTTGTCTTCTCTTGATTCCGCAGGACTTCTGCCTGGACAAATCGTACGCATCGGGGTGATATGTTCGACTGAGCATGCACCTGCCTCGGCCATGTAGGGTACTATTGAACGACCTGGGGCCAGTTGCAGACCGTAGACAGGGAGCTCTTTCACGCCCTTCGACGTGGTCTTCTGGGGTGTGAGATCGATATGATGCTCAAGTGCCCGTTAGGAAGGTGGTCACCCTCAATACCGGAACCAGAACGGAGTCCCTTTGGAGCGCGGTGACCGCCGCGCAAATGTCTCCCGTGGTCGTTCACCCGCTCCTAGAGCTATTACGACTCGACCCAATGGGAGCTCCAACCACTGACCCGCAGCTTTCAGTTCGTCTCAAAAATGGCATCGGATCGGCAGCATCCCGATATGGCCCTGGTTCCCCCCGGTACCCCTAAAATGCTCCCATCGGCCACAGTTTCCCGAATACGGGACCTACTTCTCACATATCTCTCCCCCAGCACCCGTTTTGCTTTTTGTACTTCCCAAAATGTAGTTTGCCACACTTTGAGCGCGTCGAAGTATATTGACCGACCGTGCTGCCAGCTGGATGGGCGAACATTAGTTGCTGGGTCTCCGGCGCTGCTTTTGGAGCGCGAGTGACCGGGAATTCAGTGGCAGAACCGATGGATGCATTGAAAGGATCGTAATTTGCTGGGGTGGAGCTGGTTTGGTAAAGAGTGCGGGATAGAATAGAGCAGAGGAATAGGATTTTATCGGCAGATAGACTATTTCAATCTAAAATATCTCTCACTAACTTCTCTTTGCGTGACTCTTCGATGCTTAGGGTTTATGAAGACTCACCGCAAGTAATATCGATATCAAATGTTGAATCTACACACATGATGCGAATAATATCGCGGTAGAATTCAGAATGCCTTTTGACTGGCCCACAACCTCCTAGCTAGGCCCCTCCTGACAGTGATGCTGTGCGAGCAATCCTGCAGCTCGACCGATGGAGTATTCGTGGTCTATGCCCTATGACTTCAAATATGGGTAATATCGAATAGCCTGAAGTGTTTGTCTGCTGCGTTTAAATCTAGAGAGAGTGCAGCTGGCATCACGTAAATTCCATAGTATCAAGACAGCGAATTCAGGTTTGAACATCATTTTGTCATTACTCAGCTCTTCTAAGCTAACTGTGAGCTTCGAGGCAGAAGCAGTGATGTGATTATCAGAAGAAAGTGCACATTTGTATGACCGCTGTGTATTAAAACTGGAGACGCTTTTAGTCCGCCCAATGCCATCTTACCACCTCCATCCCGATCGAACATTACCAGCCCATGCTCCCCAGCACCTGCTAGATGCCATCGCTTTCATACCAAGCAGTCTTTCCTTCCTACTAAAAGGCTTTTCTTTCCTCATGGAACGCCCCGAAAATTCCGTTAGGTCCCACCCTGACCCTCCCCATCATCCCGAAAGTTGCTGAACCTCATCTTGTTCTCCCATTCTGCAATCTGCTCAGGAGACATTTTTGGCTCATCATCGTCCGAATCAGGGCCAGGGCTTGTAGGAGCTCTCTGGGGCCTCATGCGGGCCTCTGCAGTGTGGGGAATGGCACGTAGCCCACCTTGCCTCCTCATGCCCTCTCTGTCTGGTGGCCCCCGCATCAGCGAGCTCGGCGTCGGTCTCAATGGTTGACGTGGTCGCTCCTCTAGCCTCTCCGCCGCTCTCTTTCGCTTCAAGGAAAGCTCATGTTCTTTTGTCGCCTCGCGCTTGCGCTTCAATGAAAGCAGATCAGGTCGTCTCGGTCGTTTTCCCTTGACAATGGCTTCAACCTCTTCTATGGATGATTGGTGGAAGTTCTTTTCGCGTTTGACGCCATCTACCATTTCTTGATACTTCCGGTCAAATATCGCTTTTGCCGCATCCTTCTCTTCTTGTGTGCATTCCGTGCGGATCAGCTGTGAGAACGGGTATCTGTGCCCGGGCACAGTGTGATCAAAGGGGCAAGACCACTTGTAGCGGAAGGCATTCGGACCCCAACCTAGCCTGAGGTTCCATTTCTTGGCTTTTACGGCGAAAACGAGCTTTGCGGCAAGAAGCAGGACCAGATCAACGAACGCCGGGGCGTTTGCAAGCGAGGTTCTGTGGCCATAGTCGAACGAGTGGCATAGGTACTTCTGCACGCACTCGTCGGATAGCATCAGCTCCTTGTAGTCACCCCTGGCGCTCGTCCGCAACGTCGCCAACTGATCACACAGATTCCGAAAGGCTTCTTGAGCCCGGTGGCCAACGAGCGTATTCACGTTTATCCGATGTATCCACCCAAACGCTCGTCGGCTGAAACGATCAAGGCTGTTTTCGGGGTTGTGTGAGCTGAAACCGAACGAATTGGCCATATAGAACGTCTCCCAGGCGAATCCTGCGTGCGTGCTTACGCTCGGGTCCCAATAGACGCCGTAATGCAACCGATATCCCTGTCGCTGTCGATATCGGGCTAGCATTCTCATCATATCAAACTCCGACTCTTTTTCACCGCGGCCTGGGCGACGGTACGTTCCTCGGACCGGACATTCGTTATACTCGATACAGGTGATATTGAGAGGGCCGGGGATTCTGAAGGTCTCGAGTAATTCGGTTCGGGCGCGGTTTGAGACGAGTGAGAATGAGCGATGTTGGGGATCGCGCTCCTAATTCCAGCAAATTAGCAAGGTGCGTAGAGATAACCGTCCAGACGTGGTATCTTACCGCCATATCTCGAAATTCCAGCGCCGTCTCTCGTGACGGCATCCGTCCGGAGAGTTGCGCGCCGAGCACCTGCGCAAGCCCAAACGGCTCCCTGCAGGTCGGGCATCTGCAGTCGGGATGAGCAGATTGGCGTATCCATCGGATGAAGCACTTCTTGCAAAACTCGTGGTTACACGAGGTTCGAATGAACCGGGTCGGCTTTTTGCCCTCAAAGCACAAGTCGCATGACTACATGACGGGGCCCTCGGGTTAGGTTAAATGTGATGCAGTAGGCTCAGTTTCCGAGTCCAATCGGAGCCTAGGAACTCTAATAACAACGGCAGGTTGCTACATCGGCGCCGCGTCAGGCTTGTCGTTGGGCGGGAGGTCAAATTGGCTTTCCGAGTCCGACCAACTGCTGCCGGAGGTGCTGCTACAGTCGCTCATCCTGGCGCTGCTTAGGTCGAGATCAAGGTGATGGATATGTGGAAGGTACAGGTGCACGAGAGGGGTCGTTTGGGGGGGAGAAGGATAGGAGTTGGACGCCAAATTTGACGTCGGAAGTCTTTGATATCGGGAGCAGAGCATCCAAGCGCTAGCTGCTCGCCCTGCGGCCTCGGCGGCGCCTAGCAACACGAGAATTAGGACTGCATATCTACTACCTAATCATAAATGTCAATTCAGAATAGCTTCAAATTTTCTTGCTACTCTATATAGGAGTCTCAGCACCCCCGCGACTTTATTAAACTATACACAGAGCAATATCGCCAGCATTCACCGGTAATCTTGACATCATGTCTCTGTTTTACTAGAATGATTTACAAGGGCTTGCAGTTGATCTAAGTACACTTCTCTAATACCGCTTGTAGTGCCTCATGCTAATTTCAGACCTCGCAATTGGAAGGAAACTCAGCAGGTTGGACAGCTGGTAAACTCTAGAAGCCACTCCAGGCAGTGACAGACGGGTATACACAGATTGAAAATGTGATCTCTTCATGAGAATGATATCAATAGGATGAGTCACTACGCACAGTAAAGGAGCAGAGCGCATTCCTTGACGTAATATGTATTATCGTCTTCTTAGCCACTACTCGGATCTCGAAATCAGGGCCGATAGATATTGTGATTTCCAAGCAAAGGTGATTTCCAAGCAAAGTAAACACCACACGAGCCAACTCTAACAGCTTTATTCCAACAGCATCTTCTCGGAATTAAGCCGCCAATTCATACCCTCATGAAGAGAGGTAGGATTAAGGAGCTAGATATCAAGTCGGCTCTGAAGCCAGCCGCCGGGAGGCATCGTAGGAGGGCTAGTGAAGGAGCAGGCAAAGAAGATGTAGAACTTGCACGGTGCGGAGGTGATACCTCTCCCTAGGTATTCTGGGTACTGCGTAGGCAGAACGATCAAGTGCGCGTGTTTGCCAAGTTTGGATTAAGTGACGGTGGGATCTCCGGGGTTCGTGCGCAGCCACCACTCCAGCACCCGACCTTCCTATTCCACAAAATTTGAATACTTCGATACCTCATTGTCCAAAGCCCAGAGACTCTTAATCTCCACTTCTCTTGATCGTCACTGCTCCTCTTCTCAAGACCTCATTCTCCCCCACAACATCACAGCAAACCCACCTCACGACCACACAACCACCATGTCTCAGCCCAGCCCCAGCCCACCAACCGAATTCCCCCTCTTCCGCGTCCCCCAAGCCATCCGCGTCCTCATAACCTCCTTCGCCGTCTCATTCCCTTGCCCCCTCGAGGTCCACCGCGTCGCCGCCGGCCACTTCATCCTCACCAACTTGCCCCCTCCCTCACCGATCTCCCCCGCCGCCACCGCAAATCTGCCCGGCACAGTCGACGACTTGCCCCTCCTCATCGCCCTCCGCGGCACCCTCCACAACGACACCGACGCGCCCGAGCTCCGCGACCACCGCGCCGAGTTCTACCACCACAACACCTTCGTCTTCGACACGCTCGAACTCGACCTCGCCACCATGCAGGACATCTCGCCGGTGCGGATCGGCTTCGGGTTCCGGCACCTGCGCCGCCTGGTGCTGAGTGACTTGGACCCCCGCAACGGGCTGCCAGGATTGGCGGCGTTGGCAGCGCTGAAGGGGCTTGAGAACGTCACGATCGCGGCGCGGGGGCTGATCGAGTGGCAAGATGAGTGGCAGTACGGGGTAGGGCACGAAGCGTTGGAGAGCTTCGGGGTTAGAGAGCAGGTTCTGCGGGTGGTGGATCTGGTGGCGGTTTTGGTGGCTAGATCGCGGTCGGGGAAGTGGGAGAGTTTACTGAGGGTTGAGTGCGGCGGAGTGGAGTCGCTGCGGTGTGTTGAGCACCAGGAAGATGGGTTTTGCGAGGTGGAGCGGATTGAGGAGGAAGTTGGGGTGGTGGAGATGAGGGGTGTAGTTCAGGAGAGGGTGAGGAGGATCCGACACACCTTGGGAGGGCGGCCGATGGTGGAAGGCGTGACACACGACGAGAGAATGGCAGTTGTGCAGAGGGGCGGATCTTGGGTGGAGGAGCAGGAGGATGGGTTGGTGGGTGCGATTGAAGGGGTGAGTTTGTAGAGGGTTCCGATTCGGCTGGAGAGTATGAGAGTTTTGCAAGGCTTGGTAGACTTCGGAAGAGACTCGCAATGAAAGAATACTATGTCTTGGCCTACACCGGACGACGTTTGAGGCGTCTTATCGTATCATAAAAACTTAGGCTGATGTCAAGGTTTCCACGCTTCAAATTTAGCTCCTTCGAATGCAGCCTTTGTTTGCCTATCTAAATCCGTCTGGGCGGCCCAACCAGCTTTGAGGTACTCAAAAAGTCGCATTCCTTAACCCTGGTCCCCATCCCCATGAAGAACCAAACATGATCTGCCTATAACTCACCCAACCCTTGATTCGACGGCCAGGACGGCAGCAGCCATGGAACCGCAGGTATGCACCCCAGCTTTCAAACACTCCAAAAGCACGTTTTTCGTTCCTCGCCATACCAAGCTCCAGCTCGAGACAATACTTCCTGCCTTCTCCAAACTCACGCTCCACAGGTCCGACGAGAAAGGCACAGGAAAGAGAGAGGAATTCGGCGTCCAAATTCTCTTCATCCTCAAACGTCATGAAGTCTTCGTCGTTTTGGCGGGCCTCACGCGCCTTCCGACTGGCCTCCACCTCCTTTTCCAGCTCCACAATACGCTTCAAGCAGGCGTCCAATCTGGAGTCTCCGGCAGAGACATCAGGGAGAGGAATCGATTCCAGGCCGTTTTGAGCAATCAATTGCGCGAGCAGCCAATTCTGGATCGTGGCGTGCTCCTTGGCTATGGCCTCCAGGCGGTCCTCAAGGTCCTTCACGTGGCGGCAAAGCTCACCGATGCGCACGTGCGATTCACGGTTTCCGGCAGAAGAGGAGGCTGGAGAGGCCGGGACTCGGGTAAGTGTTGAGGGATGGCTGGGAGTGTGCGATACAGGCAAGAGATTTGGGGTTGAAATGCGCTGGCCCACGAGGCCGGGGTAACCTCTGGGTGAGGAAGAGGTTACTGACGAGCGCATAAAAGTTGGCCGATGCGGATATACGATTCATGATCTCCAGCAAAGTCAGATACCCGAGAAGTCGGAGGTGAGGTTCGCGCGAGACTTGGTGTTGGAAAGACGTCGTCCTGCTGGGGTGGCCTTAGGGTGAGGTGAGCAAGGGGCTGTCGGGGTAGGCCAGCTGTCGGTGACGAGAAGCTATCCAACTATGCTTTTTGTACCTGTCCATTAGATTAGACCTCTCTTCTTCACTTGTAATTTAGGACCTCTTTACCTCTGCTTCACCTCCCAATTAGACGCCGCCCCTCTTGCGGCCTCGGTCCCCAGCGTTTGTGCAAGTTTCCAGCAGACTTGCGTTCTTGACCCACCATCTCATGTCCTAGGTTGTAAATTTAGCGTCGCTTGCTACACATGACTGGCAGCAGCAAGGTCTGGATGGCGAGATGTACCATGACAACATTTTCTTTATAAAGAAACGGCATTATCCAATTGGCATCCATTGTATGAGGTCCGATTGTAATCTCTCCTGCTTGAATCAAGATGCCGAGGGGGCTCGACCTAAGTGAAAGGTTTCGTTAGCCTAAGTGAAAGCTACCCGTTTTGGTAGTGAAGAGGGTCGGCTTACCTCGTCGAATAGTGGAGTGAGGGTGTCGAAGGAGAGGTGTCTCGAGACCATGCGAAGGATGGGCGCTTTTGTGTCCGCTGGCAAGGGAACACATCGAGCGGCAGCACGTTGAGCGACAACACGTCGAGGAGAAGCAGGTCTAGCGGCAACATGTCGAGTGGTAGCAGCTTGAGTGGAAGCTCGTCGAGCGGTAGCAGCTTGGGCCGAAGCACGTCGAGTGGTGGCACATTGAGCTGCGGATTTCGAATCTGATCTCCTCTAGTACCGTCTTGACTGATGCTGGGGGTGCCGGGGGGTGTCCTGTGCATGGTGGTGATGGTGAGGCGGTGAGGGAAGAGGTGAAGATGATTGGGGAGCTGCGGCCTTTGACGTTGGATGCGTCACGTGGTGACACCCGTCAACTACCTCAGACAGTTGCAGCACGACCTCAAATGTCTACAGCTGTTGTCTTGATTGAGGCCTTGCTCATTGTTGCTCTCTTAATTAGCAAGAAAATACCTCGCTAAGACTTCGGATTCAGATTCGAATGTTCAGATTCAAAGGGTGCAAAATAACATCTCACGGGCATTTTGGGCCACCTCAAACAGATGCAGCACACCGTCAATGACTATACCGAGCAGCGTCCCAATTCAAGAGACCGAAATGTTGACATCCTCTGCACCCCAAAATCATCTACTCAGACCCCCCCAGCCCGCTCTCAACCCCCTCAGCAACCTCACCCCCTTCCCCCAATTCCCCCCACCCCCTACTCCCGCAGCTCCACCACCACCCTCACCCTGCCCCCCGTACCCTGCGCGATCTCCTCCAGCGAAAGCGTACAGTTCGGCGACATGTCCGTCCACTCCGTCAAGACCACCACCCTCAGGTGCTGGAACGCGAACCCCTGCAGCTGCGTGATCCGCGCCATGTACAGCCCCCACGCATCGAACTCGAACTCGTTCCTCATGTAGAATCTTCCGCGCACCGTCTGCAGCTCCAGCTGGCCCTCCGCGGTGCGCATCTGCGGGGCGCTTCGCAGTGCGATGACAATTGGCAGGTCATCGACCGTGCCGGGCTGGGCCTCGGTGAAGCCGCTCGAGTCGGGGTCGGTGCGGCGCAGATCGGGGATGAGGAAGCGGCCGTGCCAGGCGTCGAGGACGGGCAGGCGGTGGGGGAACGTGACGGCGAAGGAGGCGATGATGAGGCGGATGTCGAAGGGTGCTTGCATGAACGGGAAGGTTGGCGGGATGGGCAGCGGGCCGTTTCGAGGGCGGGGAGGTTGGTGGCGCGTTGCGGTGCGGTTGGCGAGGCGGAAGCGGAATGGGCGGGTTTGAGTGTTCATTTCGACGGAGTTGCGTGATTTTGTTGGTGACTGTGACTTGGTGTTGAGGTGTTCGAATGTGGTAGGCTGAAGGGAGGAAGAGAGTGGAGAGGTGGACGTTGATGAAGCGGTGGAAGTCGGCTTTGCCGAGATGGGTTAGATCGGAACTCACTTCACCCTCATCCGGACTCGCATACCTAAGAAGGACGCTATGACACAAGCGTGATGATGTAAGAAAACCCCCAATGCACAATTTGGATCTGGCTTTCACAACGACAAATTCACGACGTGGAAGTGGAAAGCGGTACTGATATGAAGATTGAGAACTTTGACTTTTCATTGGGAGCTCCTCCGCCATCCGCACACACGAAGAGCATGCGCTTGACTTCAATCTCCATGATGCCCTTGTATTTGATCGCAGAAGATTGCGCCAGCTACGAGTGGTCCCACTTGCGCTGGCGAACCCAAGCTTCTACAGCTGATATCAGCATAGGCTTTGAGACTTCGGCTTGGGTGACGACGCACATTTCCTACCCATGAGTGGCAGGTATAACAACATCCCATGGCTGCTCTTCGAGTCAATGAGAGATGGCACGGCGGGTCTGTCTGAGTAGATCTCTGCGCGCTTAACGAGGAAGTAATTTGCGATGGACTCATCCGAGATGATGACGAAGTTCCGTCCAAACATTCCCACACAAGACAACGCTCTGGGTGGTAGTTCTCGGGGTCTGGGTACTTGACTCCGTTGAGCATCACGGCCCTGGATCTGTGTCAGAGAGAACATAGAGAGGCCATTGGCATGACTTACCAGTCGAGGGCAAGAACCCCCTTTCCCTTCGAAATGAAGCCCGAAGCCACCGCGGTAGTAGTCGTCAGCCTTTAGCTCGTGAGCAACGCCTGTCCGAGGTTAGCATACACTCCATGATTGCGCACAGTTATTTACCGGTTGGGACAGGCGATCTCAATCGGAAGGTCTCCTTGATGCAAGCGCGGAGTACCAGAAGGTTTCTATAAGTAAATTATCCTTTAGAGCCTTTCATTAGGCTTTCGTCCAGAGTTAGTGGCCGCTCACAGTGCTGACGTAGGCCTGATTAGACAGCGGAATGCCAGTCGTCTGGTGGAACTCGGCAAGGGCTACTCCGGGAAATTGCTCGGAAATGTTTGTGACAATGGTCGACCATGGTTCGGCCGAGGTAGCGTCCAGGGCATCCTTGGCTGCTACGACGCATGACCCTACTCGGAAAGCGACTCGAACGACCTCGACTGCGAGTGGTGACAATCCCGGACAGGCTCTTTGATGAAGCAACTGCGGCACCTGCAAGAAGACTGGTGCACAATCCAAGAATCCGCGCGCCCAAGTCTATGGGGTAAGCAACACGGGCCGTTTGGCATGCCCCCGATACTCGTGTTGCTCACCCAACAGACGAAAGAGAAGAGGAAAAGGACGTCTTAGGGCAACGTGTCAGTCCGTATCATTATAGTGAGGTGTAAGGGGGGAGGCTTACGGCCACAACCTGGCAGTGTTTTTTTCGTGTTCAGTGTCGGTCTGACGGCGTCGGCTCCTCCTCACTGAAGAACTCTTTGTCGCTTGCCGATGTATCGGCCAGGAATGCGAGAAGCGATATGACAGGCGTGAGGGTCGGATCCCGTTCTCCGCTAGCGCTACATGAGAAGGAACGGCTCGATGTAGCGTATGGTGACACGAATAAGAGTGGCAAGGACAACGAAAGAAGACGGCAGAATGGGAACTTTGCGACGGAGGAGCGATAAACAAGCAGGTTTCCTTGACTGGTGACAGAGAATTCGGATCGACGAAGGTTGGATCCGCAGCCGGGAGGGGCGAACTTCTCTGCGAACTCGAAACACTGCAGGGGCCCGGGGGCCTAGAAAGGGGAATGGGTTTTGATTTTGAGATGCTCTTACAAGAAAACGAACGCTGAAGACAAACCCGGTCCTGGACCCAAAACCCACCGTGATACTGTCTCGCCCAGCATGGTCGCAGCTGTCCTGCTTGCCATTGCTCTCGTGCGCCGTTCAACAAATCCATCAAGGAACGTCCGCTGTCTCCCTCGACGCCCAAGTTCGCTTCGCTTCCACGGATTGAGGAAGAGTGGCAAGTGCCAGAGCGGTGTCAAGACATTTGTGATAAGACCATTGTAACATCTGAGTAAGTAGACCCCAGGCACTCATTCGCATCTGAGGACTGAAGCTGGGATTGTCGAATGCAAGCGTGCACATAACCTTCGAAGCCTGGTTCTCGATATGGAAGCTGAACTCCTTGGGATCGATGCTGAGAACGGAAATCAGTCGTTCGACTTTAAAATCTGGATCGGGGACAGAAAAACTAGAGCGTCTCTAGTTAGTCTATCTATTGCCAGTCAAGCTCCTTGAGCTATGATATGAACTTACTACAGGCCATCCAGACCACAGAGCAAGAATACCCTGGGATTGCTCGTCTTCTTCCAGCGAGTCGTCCGTCTACCTAGTCAGGTTCGAGCCGCACGCGAGTGAGCAGCGGGTTCGGGTGCATTATGTTGGGCAGGGCGGAGAGAGGATTCGTGAATTGAAGATGTAGGTGGAGGCGAGGTGCCGTCGTGCCAGTCTTGCTAATTAGTCAAATTGGTCTTGTCAGAGGGGGTAGAGACTTACCTACATCCCCAGGCCTGCGGTGGGTGAGGAAGTTGCCGAATCACGGCGAGTAGCCCGGCTGGGTAGCATGAGACGATGTCGCCACGAGAGTGCGAGGGCGCAGCAAAGCTTACGTTTACATTGCGGTAAGACTGTTCCAGCTTCGTCAAGGCTGGACTCGCAGCGTGGGCAGTAATCCGGCCGCGGGAGTTTGGGGACGGAGGAAGATGAAAGAGAATGACGGATGGGAAAGAAAGGAGAGGAGATGAGGGAGGAAACGGAATCAAGGCGGCGTTCCAGCAAGCCCCTACCCCAAGCAGATGTAAACACCAAGGTCGCTAAAGTATGCTGTCGCGGCCCCCTGAACACTCAGCCAAGGGAAGATTGGCCAGTGAACCACGGTTTCCCGGTTTCTTATTTCAACAGCTGCCCCTCGCAATGCCATTCGATGCATGAATCTTCAAGGAGACACTAATGCATTTGCACCTCAACGACGAGTTCCGCATCCAAACGGCGTCTACAATGGTCGTGATGTTTTCAGCCTTCTCAAGATGATACTCCCTACATCATTTTGTGCCGTGCTCCTGAGCTGAAGGGACATCATGCCAGGATATGGTGGTTCCTCGCCGTTGAGCACTGCCGCTCTACGGCTGCCCATACCTACTTCATCGTCCCTTCAGTGACGTAGCACACCGATCTGCTACGGCAACTCTAAAATACCATGAAGACAGAACAGCTTGCCGCTGTTGCCTAGCGGTTGCCCGACGTGTTGATCCGGTCCGCAATCTCGCCCTCTGCCACCTATATAAGGCCCGGCCCCCTCCCTCCTTCCTTCCTTCTTCAATGCTGACGTGTCCTAGGTGTCGCCGTCGCCGTCGCCTTGCCGGTCGCGGTTGTTCCTAGGGCCTCCGTTTGCCTTGCTTAATTGCTTGGCAGGCTTCTACGGAAGTCCAGCTATTATACCTCAGTCTTTGGAAACCGTCCCCTGGCCGCTGGGCTTGCCTATGTCAGGGGGCACTGTGTCGCTCGTATTACACTGCCTCGGGCCAACGCGAACATCTTTGTTCAACATCTTTTTCATTGATCTACTCAGCTTGCCTGGGTACTCGAGGAAGAAGCAATCGTTCCTCAATCATTTCGCTGTTTGTAGTGATACAGGTTTGTGATATGCGCCTTGTTTGCTTTGACGCTAAGATTGCGACACAGATCGTAGTGTCGCGATTGTAAAGCCCTGCTGAGCAAGGCGCTGCATCGCTATGGCAGCATCGTACCTGCAGCCAAAGAAGCCAGGCAAGCTGCAATCTGCTTCATTCTACGTTTGGAGGTGGTGCGAGAGCGGACGTTGTGTCGTCGTGATCATGGGCGGCCACGGTCGGGTCCCAAAGAGCTGCTGCGAACTTCCATGGCGGCCAGGATCGTACCGCACTGAGTCGGCGCAAATGTCGCAATGGTCAGAATCTCTCTGTATTCTTAATATATCTTTACACGCTCTGTGGTATCCCCGTTGCGAAAAATGGCGTCGTGATGTTGTCGTTGGCGCGAGCAATTCGACCGCGACCGCTCGCATCGCCAGATCGCCCCAGCGAGTCGCGCAGTTCAACACCATGGCGACAAGTCTTGGTGTAAAGCTAGGGAGGCATATTCTTTAGCTTAAAGACATGATCTAGACCTGCGAAGCGCTGCGAAGTGAGCGCTGCGCGTGGATATTACTTCGGGTCCCTCTGCCTGCCGTTCGTACGCCGCAACCCAGGCACGAGGCGCCATAATACAAGGTACGGCATTAAGAGGTGGACACATACCACTCCTGGCATAGATATATGTGTCAGATATGCTTCAGTCTGCTCTAAGAAGCACGGCGTTGTGGCGTCGTCGTCTCACCCTTTCCCTATGCCTGCTGCCCAAAACAGCCTTTCGCGTTTCTCTGCCTCCTCAGCTTCTCCCCTCTCCACAGTAAAACTCTTGCGCAAAGCATACCTCTTCACGTACCATCATTTGATACACGGTGATCTCTTTCAACCCTCGCAGCGTCGCTATCCCGCGCCTTCCCAATGCTTCTCGCCGTCCCCCGTCGCTCTTCCGCCTCATCAACTCTCCTCCTCCATCCTCAAGCTCCCCCACAAGCACGACCACCATCGCCACTTCAAGACTTCATCGCCCTTTCTTGCGCATCCCAGCATCGTCTTCTCGTGTCCTTGCCAGGCCAGAAGCCTCCTCTACGACTTCCGCCCGCCTCCCTCCGACCGCCCTTCGCAGCGTCGTTTCCTTTCCACCCACTCGCGATCCGGCTCAACGCCAATACATGCATACAGCGCAGTGTGGAGGTATCACGAACCGCAATGATGATCGCTGAGACCTTCGGTACCTGGCGACCTTCAACGAAGCAGCCCACGGCGACAGCGAGGAAGCCCAGACCGCCTCTCATAAACCACAACTCCTTAGCTCGAGGCAGATACGACCCTCGCTAATACACTCTTACTTGGTCCAGGTAGATTTCCCTAGTATCCCCACATTCCACCTGCGCCTCGGCGCTTCCTCCGCTGAGCTGACGAAGATTCTCCAAAGAAAACGAGTCCGTCACCGACTCCAAAGGCGGGCCACGACGATCCGGATCCTCCATACTGTGCTGTTTCCAAGGTTTGAGACGTCGCATGCTGTCGTTGACAATCTAGCTGCAGAATCTGCTCTTGCCGCCTCGGCGCCTCCCAGGGATAAAGGGAAAGCCGTACCCGAGGGCTGTCCGGGAACCTTCAGTCTTACTCCAGACTCGTAAGAGAACTAAAGCTAACTTCCAAAGCTCTCCCAAAAATCCTCACCCTTGTCTCCACACACCGGTTTTCGCCGTTCGATTGCTCCTACGCGTCAGCCTCGACCGTGGAGACACTCCGACAACACGACCCCTCTGCCGCCCTTCGCAGCGTCGGCGAGCGCACCGAGGGCGAAGACCGAGATTGCAAGAGACGAGGAAGCTGTGGGACTGCGGCATGACTCTGATACGAAGTGGAGGGCAAGAACACTATCAAAGAGCGGGTGGAGCAGAGCTGACGGCCTGGAACGCCGACCGGCATCAGCCTTCCTAAGGGGCCAAGAGCTGTGCCCCCGGACTCTTCCTCATACTTGGATTTCGAAGATACTGCCTAGAAAGGCGATGCCTTCAGGGAGCTGGGAACAGTCAGGATTCTACACTACTCGTCCCGGTCCCCAGGTAGGGTCATCAAACGCTGGTGAACCAATAGACTGACATATTTCGTAGCACGGCCTTCGATCCTCCCCACCCTCCACGCGCACGCCTGAGACAAAATGAAAAGCAGCCTTTGATCAGACACCAGGTTTCACGGCCCCGGCCTTGGTCGGAAAGGGATCTTGAAGGAGTTCAGTTTCGACACTCTGTCAGGCAGTGGGCAACGGAATACACCTTGCGAGCATGACAGGAGGTCATCCAGCGAACATAGAGGACTCAAGCCAGCCGCACGGGAGTAGGACGATACCAGACAAGCCTCCAACGACACCCATGTGGCGAAAAGATCACAAAGTTGATCATCTTCGACCTTCAGGATCCTCTTTCCACCCTACATTCAAGTGCCTCGGCCAACAGTAAAGTCGCGAAAGCCAGCTCCAGCATCTCATTCGGCGTCGGCATGGTATACGAGCATCGTCGCTTCGAGTTGAGATAACAACAGGCCAGGTATGTGGTACAGAACAGCAGAACTCAACATAACGACGACGGCTATGCGTCGAGAAAGATGAGAGCTTTGATTGGAATAGGAGAACATGATGGCCCAACCCCTGCGCATCTCGCGTCATGGAACGTCCCAGCTTAGCTGGTATCTCTTGCTGCCCATCGTCGTATTCTCCAATTTCAGTCTTCAGTCGAGACGGAACATCATTGAAGCCCCGGGACGGACCGATCAAGGAGGAAAAACGCTTGGCATGATGCTCCACTTTCATGAAACTACACTGAGAATACTGCTGACGACTCTAGGCGGCGTCTCGGAATTGGCTTTCAAATGGCAGCTGATTCCAACGGCATTAGCCGTGGACCTGTGTCATGGCTACATTCATTCGACTCTTCCTCGATGCGCGAGTCTTCTTCGACCCGCCGCACGATCTTTTCGATCCACGCTCCATCCTCTGGGAAGCCACGGGCTTCAAGATTTGGCATCGAGATACAGCCGCACTAGGCCAACTTAGAAGGAAGATGCGTATCTAGCGAGCTATTGATGGGCTGATCGAATTTTCTGCGTTTATTTTTGACCAATATACCCGGTTTATTCATCTTCTCTTTCCGACCGAAGTTACAGTACTTTCTTAACTTATCTAACCAGTTCACCTTGCCACGGAGATGGGCCATCAACACCCAAGCATGATACCGAGGGTACGTTGACGTCACCAACCGCCCCTAGGTCTGCCCGTAAGAAACGGAACGATGATTTCGTATTGACGGATGCGACATCGACTGATTAGCGCTATCGGTATCAGGTTAGAGTCTTGACAGTCTTTCGCAAGATTTTTGTAGGGAAAAAGATATGAAAAGGAAGACTTTGAACAACAAGGTAAGAGACCCAAAGAGAAATTCAAGACGAGGTTCAAACGGACAGCATTCATATCTACCGCAGCTTTGTCGACCACACAATTCGTGTATCCAGTTCGTTGAACGGAGAAACATACTCCTCGTCACGGGGGCATCGCTACACCTAGCCCGAATCATGCCGGGCAGAAGTCCGCCCATTCTCATTTGGTTGAATGCTTCGACCGGTAGTCCCTCGACACGGAAAGATACGTCAAAGTCCTTTCCCGAGACGAAAAACTCTTTACATAGGAAGCTGAGCATAGCTAATCCGACCTAGGATCTTTAGGCAGGCGCCATGGCCTCACTCTGAAGACTCTTCTTGGACGACCCTCTGTATGAGTCAGGTATTGTGCATTATTGATGATGAAATGGATCCCAAATTTTCGCTCGGTCATGATACGATAGCCCAATGGCGATCATCCCATCATTCTTCGGTCCGCCGGTTGGCCCTATTTTCTCGAAGGGTGGGATCAATCTCAATCCTTTCGTATCCATGGCCAACAACCGCATAGTATCATCCTCAAACCGAAAGACCTTTGCTGACACCAGTTGCAGTACGGGGATTTTGCACGCCGGATTCGCCTAATCCGAGCTACCGCAACTTCGGCCGTGCTGTCCCGGTGGATGATGCGGTAGGAAGCAAAGCATTTTGACAGGCCCGAAGATCTTATCTTCACGCCGGGTCAAAGCCTGATTGCCGCCTTGCCGCCTTACCGCCTTGCCGCCTTGCCGCCTTGCTCGGATGGGGCAGAATGGTCGACGGCAGGATAAAACGGCCTATCGATGTCAGAGGCCAATCGCCAAGCACCGTCCTTCCATCGTCCCTCGCCTTCAGCCCTCGGTTATCCGCTTGCATCGCATCCTGAGCTGGAGGACGCCGTCGGCGTCGTCGGCGTCGTTGGAGGGGTTCCGGTCTGTGGGTTGGGTGAGGTGGTAGGTCCAGATCAGTGTCTTGTCAATGTAAATGGGCGCTATGGCTCAGAACACTTTGCTAACACTGTTGGCAGGCATTGTCGGGTCGTGTGGGGGGGACGAATGGCGGCGGTCGAACCTCCAAGCCCGCTGAGCTGCCGCGCCAAGACATCCCCAACAGGCCATTCCCCCTGAATCGAAATTTTCCATTCACAATGTCGCTTCAAGCTTGCTACAGACACTTCTTAGGACTATCTCATGTCACCGAAGACCCTGCCAATAAGTCTCAAGGCCTGGAGGCGCCCTCGTCGCCGATTCGAGCTCCCCCGCCATTCCGCCGCATGCACCCCCGATACAGTCATACACCATAACGCATCGCATGTTCGCTTATCACGCACCAGGTCGTGTATCATCGACATCTATTCTCCCTCCTCACGCAGTATCAGAGCTCGCCTAGACGTTGTGGTGGTGCTAGATGGGGTCATCCCTCCGCGACTCGAGGCCTCGACGTTGAAAATTTCCCAATCGGGCCAAGCGCGTCCCAGCGCCGACGCTGCGCAACGACCAATCACGAATATTTCTCGCTCAATGCTCTACCAAATTGAGATGCCGGTGACGAGGGGGGTGAGGGCGTCACCGCGAAATGATGGGAGGGATGGTAGGGGAGGCCATGGCAGGGAAATGGTGGGAATCTCTGCGAGAGGATGAGATGGGATTCTGGGGGATATGCGCACGAGCCAATCAGCAGCATTTCGTGCACGATGGTCTTCCTAATGCGGATTTCTGTGGCGAGGGGGCTGGGAGGGTTAAGAAAGATGGGGTAAATGGCGGATATCAAGATGAGGGCTCGAGATGACTCGAATGGACGCGGAGAAGAGGGTGAAGGCCATATTCAAGGAGAATCGCTCCACGTGAATCAGGAGCCTTTTGAGATCTCCATGGCCTTCATCATTCAATTTCTCGTCTTGTATACGTTTTTTGAGTCCACCCAAAATCTCCAGAATGGCCAAGGGCTTGAATAGCAAGCAAAGATATGAGCTTTCATTGAAAAGGGGGATGGCCATGGATCCTCTGACGCCTGTGTCAGTTGCGAGCAGTTTGCAATCAATGGTGGACCTATTTCTCGTGAATTACACGAGGAGCTTCAGAATTGTATCCAATGTGAAGATTTTTACAGAGTCACAACACCGTTTGTATATGTAGATGCGATGCACGCATCTATATAGTTGGGACCTCTGCTCAGATCAAACCCCAGGAATCGTTCCCGTCTTGCTGATATCCTTTTTCCTGATACTAGTAATTGCTACAAAGGCCCCGTTTGCGATGCGCGAGAGATTTCACGCATCGGATTCACCAAATATTTTACTTCACACGAGACGCTACCTGATATCCAGTCCGCTGCAACGGCGAGTGCTTCATCATCGATAAAGCTGGCTCATTCGGCGGAAGGTGTATCCTAACTGCCTCCTCCGCAGCCGATACCCATTCCAACTCCGGCGAACGCGACCATGATACTAGTGATAACTTTGGCTTCCCGCGGCGGAGGGAATGAACCAGATCTATTACCTAAATATTTGAATTCCAAACTGGAGGTAAAGTATACATCAATCTATCAACACGTAGGGTTCCATAACGCTGAATTTTCCCCTTACCAGAGCAGTCCTCTGTAAAATCCCACAGCGAGTCGCAAAACTGCAGCTGCTGCACACTACCGTCGAGCATAGGGAGGCATTGATGCAGAAGAATGCCTCTATGTCAAAGATGCATTCCATGATGCAACTCCACTCCCTCTCTCACTCCCACACACACGAGGAGCTGCGCGCAGTGAGCCCCGAAGCACAAAGGCTCAACAAAACCTCCCGTTGAGGTGCCCACACCTCCGACGGGACCAATCAATGCCTCCTCCTGGGTTAGATGTCGTAGCATAAAGGCTCAACAAACCGTCCCCCCGGGCGCGGGATGGCCTGAATGGGGGTGGGTGGCGTCATGTGCGCGGAGGTACCTCCCTCTTCTGGGGGAATTCGCCCCCCTCCCCATACCATCTTGCGTCATGCTGCAGCAGTAGTACCCTCAACACCGTTTTGTTGAGTCTTCATGCTTCGACGCGCGCGGTGGAGGTCTCGCAAATGGTTTATAGGATGCACGGCTGAGGCATGAGATAGGGGTTCGCCAAATTGAAGCGCCTTATCGCCGCTGGCTGCAAAGCCGTAGAAGCCCGAAACTTTTCGCAGAACACCACTACCGCACCCCTCTCCTCCCATCTTCCCATCTACCACTCTCTTCTCGGGTTTGTGCGTCGAACCAGCGGCGAAGGGCAAAGACTCAACAGAATGGCGTTGAGGGTACTACTGATGCAGCATGACGCAAGATGGCGGGGCGGGGGGCACGGCATCGGCGGATGAATACCCCTTGGGGAAGGGGCAGGTCGGAAACACCCCCTCCACATCCCCGCGCTGAGGGCTCGGCGGGTTTTGTTGAGTCTTTATGCTTCGTAATACGCTATGGGAGGTGAAGGGGTAGGGGGTAGGGGGTAGGGGAGTGGATAGGGGGGCGGATAGGGGGGTGGGATTGCAATGCTCAGTTTTTATCACCAAGATGAGGAATGCGGCTACCTTTGGTGTAGAAGAAGGGTAAGGGAGAATGGGTTAGATGCTGCAAGTGCTCAGAGTCCACCGTCATTGCACTCATCTCGCGGGAGAAGAGCTCTGACTCGAACACACTCCCTCAATTCCGGATCTTGTGAGTTCAGCGGTCGATCTCATCAATGCTGCATACATTCTAACCTCTAGGTAGGAAAGTATGCCACTGGTGTAGATGGATTTTTTAGAGAATGGCATTCGTCTTACGGGGATTTTGCACCGGCTTGGAGAGTTCAAGATGAGGGAATCTCTAGACATACCAGCATCGGGAACCATATGCTGGTTTGGATTACCGACCCGAAAGCCTTTGCCTACGTGTATAAGGCTGATGAATAGAAAGAAGCTATCCATGTCCGTGTTGCTACCATTACCATGATGGCCCTCGAATGGAAGGATGAGAGTTCCCGCTGAAGTCGCAAATACCGTGAGTTCAAGAGGATGTCGCAGCATCGCTGCAAGAACCGCTTCAAGCGGATGCATATTTTGCAATCATGTCATATCAGGAATTTTAACTCAAATAAGTACTCCATCCAGTTTATCTACCCCTTTCCTACTGCAAGATGCGTAATATGTAGACCCAGCTACACAAGCCAAGACTGGCGATGGGTGCATGATTTGGCGCGTCGGCATATCGGCTTGTGCCCAGGTGGCTACTGCCTCAAATGTATCACAATGTCGCAATGGAGTGTTTCATCAGGTATCAGGGCCTCAACGGAGATAGGAAAGAAATAAATATCGGCCGGCGTCCTCGCTGCATCCTCCTTCTCGCACTCCCATTTGCACACCTCTCTCCTATCCCGTCGAAGACTTCTTTCCCACAACGATTCCGATCTTCCTTTTTATCCTCATCCCGCCGAAACGCCTCCTCGACGATCGACCCTCCCGGCCGACTTCAGAGGGCTGGGATCGGAGCACCACAGAGTCCTCAGATGGCCGACCCTCCGATTCCTTACGCCCTACGCCGCTGCGATAGACACGCCTCGCGGAAGCGTCACTGCACTGTTGCCGCCGACTCCAGCTCTCCTGCGTCATCAGATCCTGCGCTGTTGTCGGCTGGCCGAGTCGATTGGGATCCATTGACTAGCCAGGGGAGACTCGCTTCAATCGTCGCCAGAGAGGAGGCCTGTTCGCATCAACCTCGTCAGCATGCTTTTGACGCAGTTCTTGAGCATGGGGTCGGGGCCTGGGCGAGCTGTCGAAGATGCAGTGCAACACGCTTGGCTCAACCTCGACTTCGACTTGGACGCCAATCCTTCCGTGGACAACGAGGCAGGATCAGGTACGTGGTATGAGCCCCTTCCTCTGCTTTCTTCCTCCTCTCCTCGACCGTGTTTGGGTGTTTGTTGATAACAGGTGCTTCTTCTTCGGAGTTTCTGGCTTTTTCATGTGCCTGGCTTCAAACCAAGTCCTGCTTTCTTCGGAGGCAAGGCCCTGCTCTCTTCGGGGAAACGGTACACCAATCTTTGGAACCCACCTCTTTTTTTCATTGAGCCACTCACCTTGCGTGGGTACTTGAAGAAGAAATTCGAACTCTTGCTGCCTCTGCCATCTCGGTCCTGATGCTGCTGCGTGATATGCTTGGCGTGATGTCGTGATGTAGTCATTTCCGCCAGCCACCAAATCCGCCTGCCCTCGCAACTCCATTTCCCCAGCATCACCACCGTCAGACGCCCCTCGACACACTCCTCCTAAGCCCATCAAATCCGCAGCTCAACAGCTCCAATCCACACACAATAGACTTCGCATACCTCCAGCTATCCCCAAAAGTTGTCGAGTGGCTCGTCCACATCGACCTGTTCCTCTTCTGCTGGCTCATGGTCTTCGTCGTCGTTTGCCTCCCCCGCCTCGACCTTGAAGCTCTCCTGGACTATGCCGAGCCCATCGCTGCGCTGGCTGAGATTGCGTGGGTTCGGATCGGCCGGGAATTGTGGTAGTGGGCGGCATCGTAAGTCAGAGCTCCTTCGGCGGCAGTCTCAACCCCTGGCCGCCTTGACTAACGAGTTGCCAGGTGTTCCGCGAGCCTGTGGCTTCCCCGGCCGGTTGAAGGGGTGAACGACAGGAATGCAAGAGTAGTACGGTCAATTCTAGGCTGTGGGAGTCGGATGTGCCTGGTATGTGGGAGTTTCCTTGACGCGCACCCCAGATCTGATCACCTTGGCTAACCCCCTGACAGGTGTCTCCCGGCTTCCTGGCTCTCCTGGCCGATGGAAAGGGTTGCGCTCTACAATGTCGAAAGCTACGCTGCCTACATCACGCCTCGCTCCTCTCGCTCTTCTCCTCTGATCTCGAGCTGTCGCCGCCGAACCCTCGCAAGTCAGCGTCCGTCGGGGCCGGTTCGGGAGCACAAGTGGAAGGGTTGGGGCTGGTCAGAGCGTGGCAAACTTCGGTTACTGTTGGCCTCGCTGCTGCTGGCCTGGCGGCATCTAGCTGGCTTCGGGGTGGGATGGGTCTTGGCATTTTGAACGGCTGACGGGCCCAATCTGGCGCTCTGAGGGGGCATAGGTGGACATTAGCATGGGTATCGGAGTATAGGAGGATGTCTATTTCGCCAGCTGGGGAATCGGAAGGCATGACACCCTTAGTGCATGGTAGTGGGGATCAAGAACTTCGCGCAGTTACTTTCGCTCATGTCTCCACCGAAACTCTTAGACCGACTCGGGCGAGATTGTAACTACGTGAAATATGGGAAAAGGCCAAACGAATGGTCTCCAGTTAGCACCTCATCCCATACGTCTCAGGTTCATCTTGCACCCTCAGGCAATTTCCACCGATATCAACCGCCAGATACGCCCATAGTAAGACTTCACGCGTACTCCACAGACAATTGCTAATGATATTCGTTCAGGCTTCGAATCCGTGTATTGAGCCATTCCATGCGGTACTCTGCGTCTGGAAAACGAGCATGCATCGGCGGCGATTGATCAGAAGACTCCAAACTTTTACATCTCATCTCCTCCAAATGAACCCATCCGAACGCCTCAAGCGACATGACGCAAGCAGCACTATCATACTCAACTGAACACTAATCGGAGGCTCCAGGCATTCACATTTTTACGTTATACAAATTGGCTCAAAGCACGAGCGAACAGGCTTGATTCTCAGTCACTCTATTCGCAGCGAACGGCCCTTTTGCTGCCCCAAATCCTCCCTTCTCTGTTCCCAAATGCCCATAATACTACTTGGAATGCGCCTGCCCCCGTCCCGCAGACTACAAGAAGGCCTGCCCCTTGCTGTCAAAGAAGGAAAACCCCTCCACCTTCATCTCAATGGGGCCATCAGTACCCCCAACAATGTCACCCTCCCCGTGAGCTTCTCCTTCTTCCTCCTCAAGATCTCGGCTGCAGCCCGCACGTATCAAGAGGCCTTTAACGTGTTTGTATCGCTTTCGAAGACAATCAAGGGGTGTACTGGCTGTTATCGTGGCCCGAAGCCGCGAGATCTTGGTCTTCAAATGAGCCAGCTTCTTCTCCACCGCGACGAGGATCTGCGGATTGGGGTGCATTGTGATTGTAGTTGTGGGTGTGTTTCTATCCTTCGAGAGCTTGTGGACGTGTGCTCTTCGGAGTAAAGACAGAAGATTTGTGGGCTGTGGAGGCCGAGGTTGGAAAAGCGGGCGCGGTTTGGGAGGTTCTATCATGGCTGTGAAAGCGAACATTAGCTATTGAAGCTATTCAACTACCCATTATGCAAAGAAATAGCATAGCGCGTGAAACGTGATTCGTAAAATACTCTCTCTACGATGGAGAAATGTAGGGCCGCGAAGTCACGGGACGCGGAGGCCCCGGCGGAATTACTTGAAGTTGGCAACTTCCTCCCTCCAACTTCCTCTCCACCACGACATCGACATCACCACCAGAACGGCTTCAAGCCCAGTTGTGATTACTACCGCTGAAGACTTCTTGTCTTCGAGAGAGAGCAGGGCATCAAGTTGCCAGAGCTAGGACAGCACGCCGCAGGAAATCTGTTCTTCAAACCGGACGCGGAGATACTGAAGGAGACGATTGCAACATTCGAAAAGGTCGCAGACTCGCTCGACTTGCGAGTTCTTGGATGGCGAGAGGTCCCTCCAGACTCAACTTTGCTGGGCCCAGCAGCATTGTCCAGGGAGCCAGTTGTCCTTCAGCATTCGTGGCTCTGAAGTCAGCCTACGGTGACGGCAAGGAGCCGAACGAGGATTTCGCCGAGAAGTTCGATGAATCACGCTCCGATACGCTCGCTCCGTCTAGACTGAAGACCGAAGGATGAAGGTGCTACACTGGGGGCTACCGCTGCGCTCGCTCTGCAGCAGTATTCCTCGCAGCTTGAAGTTTCCTTATCGACATCGATCCTGCGCTGAGATCCTCTGTGGCGAAGCACTAGGCACGATGCTGCTTTGTGAGAGGTACGATATTTTACGCACAGGCTTCTTTCCTACAGTACACTAACGTGGCCGAAGTCTCTCGCCTCCGCTCTCCCCTTGCTCCTCTCCCCTTCTCCGGCAACGATTTCCTCCCCAAGAGCCACAACCGGGCTAGGGTTCCTCCCGATGCCTATTGCCTCTCCGCTGGCCACGAAAATCTGTCGCCCATCGCAGACCGCATTACCTCGTAGTGGCCCCGAGCTGCCCGAGCTGCCTCAAGCTGTGGAGATGGGCCGCAAGCCGAACCCGCTCATCCCCGAGTTCTTCAGCCGTGGCGCATTTGGACTGTCGGCTGAACTGGGTCAACCATCCCAATTAACATGACCAACAATCCCAGCCCGTGTGGCCCCGAGACCGAAGTTTGGAGAAGGTAAGGCAGAGTTCCCTCCCCGTTGCTAAATCTGTGCACTTCTAACACAACACGCAGGAGACGTCGTTTCCACCCCGGCCCCGATCCTAGTCGCCTCGCACTGAATCGTGGAAGAGAAGCTCGAGCCCGCAGAGGCATCCAGGCCGCTGAATACGTCCCCTGTGGCTCTGCGTGGCATGCCAGACCGCGCACCCACCTTGTTGAGAGTCCTTCGCCTGGTGCTGCCTCCTCCAGCCCTTGGCTGCTTTCCGGGTTCGGGGAGTCGCCCTCGAGCTCGACGTTGCTGCCCTGGTGGAAATAACTAGCATCGCAACGCCATGGCGGATCGCCCCAAGCGCAACGCGCAGAAGCCGCAGCGCTTGATCGAAGAGCTTTCAAAGGATCGTGGCTCTGCAACTCCCAAGCCTGGAACCCCAAAGACAGCTCCGGCGATCAAGCAGACCAAGAGAAAGAAAGCGACTGCAAAGGTAGACCTCTGGCAGGACCACCGACTTCATGTCGGTGTGAGCGACGCGAAAGCGGAGAAGAAGAAATCTGCCTTGGTCCTTGACAAGACGAAGGGCTTCATGAAGTACCAGCGCGTCCTTCTCGAAGAGAAAGCGAAAGAAGAAGGAATACCCGCTACCGATCCTACCTGGAAACCCGGTTCGGGAGGCTCACGAGCAGTCGTGGAGTGGCATGTAAGGTTAGAGCGAATGAGAATTCAATGCGGTTTCGACAATCAGCTATGTGGGTTTTTGAATACTCTGTGACGCGCTTCAAAAAGCACCGTCATAAGTAGGTGATATGTATCCATTAGTCCATCCAATATGCAGAGCAGGAACCTCGACATCCGGACCATATCTATGAAAAGGCGTTAAGCTAACACCGACGCCACTAAGATGAGTACAGACAACGCATCTAATAGCTCTTGTTCGCGTCTTCATGGTCGTTTTCATGGTCTCCTTCATCGTCCAATTCTGCATCCAATTCACGATCTTGAAAACGTGAGAGCCTGTCCTGCTCTGTGATACTGACTTGAAACACCTCAAACAGCAATCTCCCAGCCTCAAACTCGCTGTGCCAGTAGCCCAATTCAAGCACACTGCAGTAGACTCGCCAAATTAATGGAAGAACGGAGCCCTACGTCATATCACACGTATTCTTCATCAGAAAATGCAAATCCAGTCACATGATCCCACTTCACCCCCAACATTGCCGTCCATAAAAGCCTCCTCCTCCCCGCCCTCCACAGACCAGCAAGCAGCGCCATCACCAACATCACCACCATCATCACAACCAACAACCGCAAGAAGACCGCCAAGATGGGCCAAAACAACTCCAAAACCACCACAACCGCTGCTGCCGCTCCCCTCGCTGCCCCCGCTGCTGTCCTCGCCGCCCTCTCTCCGGGCCCCGTCACAGCCCCTCCCCGCGCCGTCGTCCGCCTGCTCCGCCCCGCGCAGCCCACCACCACGCCCCCAACCGTCGCGTACGCCTTCGGCGGGGGCTTCACGGCGCTCGACGCGGAGACGAGGCAGCCGGCGGACCGCACCAACGCGGAGTGCCGGGCGTGGGCCTCCGCGGCGGTGATGGCGGCGAACAAGAGGGAGATTTGGGTACGTGGTCCTCAGAACCTGTTGCAGTTTGGCACGCTTTGCTAACGGTTTTCGGCGCAGAAGGCGAAGTGGGAGACGTGGTACTGGTTAGAGCATGGGGATGAGGAGGCGGAGAGGCGAGAGCAGGAAGAGGAGAGGCGGGAGGGGGAGAGGATGCGGAGGATGATTGAGACGCATTGGCCGGATAGAGGGGAGAGGAGAGGGGGGAAGGGCTGGTGGTGAGGGAGAGGGAGAGGGAGAGGGGGAGTAGAGGGGGAGGGAGTGGTAGAGGAGGGCGGGAGGGCTAGATTGAATGCGAGAGAGGAGTGTGCTGCGTGCGGCTTGATGATGTTTGAGGTGCCTTGACTTGACGTTGTGATAATGAATGAGATGTATGATCCTTGAGTCTTGAATCTTGACGAGTAGCCAAATGAGGCATCTGGACTGATCTTAGCTGCGTTTGTGGTGCCTCAATTTGAGACTGTGAAGAGGAATGAGATGTAAGAATCTCATCTCCGTGTATCGGAGGACCTATTAAAAGCACTATCTGGATTCGTCTTAGCAGCGTTTGTGGTGCCTCGAGTTGAGACTGTGAAGCTGAACACGATGTCGAGTTCTCGAGTCTTGAAATTGAACTAGCTACTAAATGCAGTATCTAGACTGATCTTGGCAGGGTTTGTGGTGGCTCAACTTGAGACTGTGAAGCTTAAAGAAATGTAAAGCGTTCGACTCTTGAAATCAGAGGAGCTACTAAATGCTGTATCTGGACTGATCCCAGCAGCGTTTGTGGTGTCTAGACTTGACTTTTTAGGATGGAATGGGATGTAAAGGCTTCAGCCTTGTATATCATTCTACTGGGACCGTAGTGCGACATGTGGGCTGGGGTATCCCCATGGGCTTTCAAACCTCCTAAGCCGACGTCAATGACGACGCAGCGGAGATTGGGCATCCTTTTGACTGCCCGGCTACATTCTGGCGGGGCCACTCCTCGCGGTGGTGTTGAGCAAGCAAGAGTGAAGCTGCTGCAGTGGTATATCCGCGGGCCCAGACCCATGAAGTAGTACTTTGTAGTCTCACAAGGCACGCAGAGCACATTCCTTACGTTTGACATACAATTTGCCGCAATGGCTACTTCACTGGTCAAGCCACGTAGAGAACTTGGAGTCACACGAACAAGACTAGAATTGGTATCATTACGGAAAGTAAGCCCCCCTCCCCTCCCGATTCTCTCTCTCTCTCTCTCTCTCGTCGAAAAAAGAATCTATTTCTTGGAGGCGGTGGCGGCAGCGGCGGAGGTCTCTTTGGTGGCGGTGGCGGCGGTGGCGGTCTCTTTGGCGGCGGCGGCAGTCTTCTCGGGCACGAGGAGGGCGGCGGCGAGGGTTTCTTTGGCCACGGCGCGGCCGAGGGCACGGCGGGCGTCTTGGGCGTGGGCGGCGAGGAGGGTCGTCCTGAGCGCCATCTCCGCTATCACGAGGATCAGCAAACCGTGCTTGTACATCATGACTAGATGCGATAGATTCGACATGAATCAATAAAGCTGCAAAGACTAACCGACGATGCGCTCCCGCTTAGCCCACATCTCTGCGAGCTCGGCGTCATGCTTCTTCAGTTCTTCTGCTATTCAAGGTGTCAGAACTAAACTATGCGAATTCACAGCCTAGGATTACTTACGAGTCATGGTGTCGAATTGATTGATTGATTGATTGATTGATTTGGAGATTTGTTGGAGTTTCTGGATTTGATGGATGTTGGGTCGATTCTGGAGAATGTGCCTGGGGTTGGGGACTTACCGCGTTGCGTCTCAGATTTTATGGTGTGTACCCGCCAAGGCACTAACACAAATCAAGAAAATCTCACGGGTGTACCCCATGCAGTGGGAAGAAAGGCGGCATACTAGACGCCGCTCGCGGCCTCGTCTCGCGGCCCTACCTCAACCGCACCAAAGAGAGCCAACCAAAGAAGTGTGCACTTTTCTTCTTCAATCACCCAGACAAGCTGAGTCAATCAATGAAAAAAAGTTCGCATCGCCAGAGGTAGTGCAATACTGGTGATACTGTGTCCCCTGACATAGGCAAGCCCAGCGGCCAGCGGACGGTTTCCAAAGAGTAGCCCCGGGCACCGGGGAAGCTGCCCGCCAGGCTCCACCCTATTACCCTGTTGCTCGCATGCGACGCATCCCTCCTCTTTGGTATGAAGTCTGGTCCTGGAGGCCTTGTACCACCCCCTGGTACCCACCAGGTCTGCAAGATGGTTAGCATGAAGCGATGTGATGTTGGTTGAGGAGAGGAACTTACTGATTAAACATTATGTATGAGGAAGGAAGGAGGGTGGCGGGTGGCGGGTGGCGGGCCTTATATAGGCAGAGTTGCCAGCGCGGCCGCTAGCGCCTTCACCGGAATATGGGGAGTGGAACGTTGTAGAAGGCTGCTGCCTAGAATCCGGGCCTTCCAAGAGTGATTGGGTCGGGTAGTTGTGCGTCCGTCAGTGAAGTGGCAATTGCGGGAGGGGCGATGTCGGAGGCAGCAGACGTGCTCGGAGTGTTTCCTGGGACTACATCACCCAGCTCGCCTTGTCCTGGAGTCGGGGAAGAGGACTGCATAGTCCAAGTAGGCTATCTTAGACTTTAGAGTAAGCTCGTTGTTGAAGTAGTCTCATATTGCACTTAGAGTAGTTCTACTAACTATCTATCTGCTTGTAGATACTGATATTGCATCCACAGTACTAGGTACACGGATGTAACATGGCTTCGGCTCTGCTTTTGCTCTCTTGATATTACTGTAAGAGGTGCCATAGCTAGCATGTCTTTGAATTGGCCATGGGGTAGTCCAATTACCACGGCGTTGACATTTATATTGTTTTTGGCATTTCATAGCCTCTTGGGGTACCCTAAGAAACCGCATGGAGTGCGCGAATATATCCTTGCTAGTGTTTCATGACACGCCGTTGATTCGGGTTGCTCGTGCTCCTTGAGATAGCCAGACTTGATATTCGGAAACGAATATCTCAAATTTACGTACGCTTTCCGCCATCTAGCCCCTGTCTGTTTCGGCGGCGCGTCCCGCACTTCAAGCCATCTCCGCGATGCCTCGCCGCCTTATCATCTCCTCTCCTTGCGAATACTCCTCCACCTTAGTGCACCTATCCCATGTCTCCGCCTCGCTTTCTGATGGCCATGACATACGAAGTTCGGCAGGTCCACTCGGTACCGTGATACACAGCCCTCGAAGCAACCGAACGCTTCCTGCTCGAGTCATGCTTCAGCGTCAATAACACCAACGACTGCTCGAAATCCTCTCGATCATGCCGTTCAATATATTCGCAAACTTGCTGCAGAATGGCAAAGCCATGGCACAAGCCACCCGAGAAGGTAGCCAGGATTTGTCGACTGGTGACGGACTGGACGCAAAGGGCTTCTGGGCAAACTACACACGGCGTTCAGGTAGGTCTCCTGCCGGACCATACCTTTTGTCATTAGAGCGGGCTAACCTCATGGATAGCAGGAACGAAATGACGCCTTTTCATCACCTCGAGTTCGCCTTGGGAAATTTTCCGTCCCCCTGATTCCTTAGTTCCAGTCCCAGCTGCCAACCATTTGGCGAACGCCAAACCAATCAGCCTCCACACTATACCCTACGTCGTGAATGATGGAGCCTCGCTATACCCTTGGCCAGCTCGAAGGGCTCTAGCATAGAAACTGGTGCGTCCAGAACAGCTTATTCAACCTCATGGCCGATTGCGCCTCCGAATATGCCTTCGTAGCGTTTCCATCACGCTAAATCCTCAGTCCTAACGGTTACCGCCCCAGCGTGCCTGGCCATACTTGCGTTTCTATCACCGTTTCAGGCTGCCAGTAAAGGTACCAACTCCAGCGCTAGTCTACCAAGACAACGGGTACAACAACGGTGGGATGGTGGTGGCTCCGGGTATCAAACAGGGACCGCGGGTTGTTGTGACTTGGATGGCAGCGAAGTCAGAAATTCCGTGGCAAAATTCATCATTGTATCTCGGGTATTCCCTCTAGACTTTTGCAACTATCGCAAAGACATCCGGTACTCGTTCTGATTGTGGTGAGTAGTCTCACATTGTTCCAATGTCCCCGCTGAACAGTTTCTAAAGGACGATCGCTAGGTCAACGATCTCACCGCGGTCCTCACCAGCGCGATGAGCTTCACCTCTTGTTCTCCAGTGGAGAGCCTCCGAGGGGGAACCCTGAACGGCCTTTCCTCATACGCAACGGCGAAACTGGGAACGGGAGTTGATTCCCGTGAGGGCATGGTAAGCAAGTCTGATGGGGCATGATCCCATGATGCTACTTGTTTGTGAGATCTGCCGGCAATCGATTGGGCCTTCGATACTCGTACCAGGTTGCGGATCATCACGCTGTTAGCCTGCGCCATCTGACTGCTTGCTGATAAGATGAGTTCAGAGCGAACACCCATTCGACTCCATTCTTAACGTTGCTACGCCTGGCCAACCCATCGATGAAGACTACGACACGGAAGAGGACACGCTCGTCTCATTCATTGAAAAGGGCGACATAGCATCATCGTCGGCGACGCCCACACGCCCGACGAGGATCTCGGTAACACGGCTATTGAAGACATCCTCAGGACCACCAACTCACCATACCTTTTCGACGTGACCAACTTCCTCAAAGACGAATCATACCGCCCCAAATTATGTCCCGAAGACGACAAGCCCGCCCGCGGGGTAATGGGTGAAATCATCACTCTTTAGCCACCGCCTGCGATGCGAGCTTCACCTCTCTTCAGCCGCACAACCTGGCTCATGTCCGTCCCTTGCGGACTGCTCTACGGTCCCGTCTGGTGCAGTGTCCGGTCCGCGTGGTTTGGAATACTACACCCTTCTCTGGCCCGGATATTCAAAGCGGCATTTAGGCTCAGCCACCCCCAGGGCTAGAGATTAAGGATATGGTGGTATCTGGCCATGGAAGTGCAGTACCACTCCTGGCCCTACAGCTCCTGGTCTCGGGACTGCTAGCCAGTCGGTCTTTCACAAAGGTCCGAACGAGGTCAGGCCTGTTGCGAAGACGGATTTCATCAAGAGAACTGCCTCACTGACCGGAGAGAGGCGTAATGGTAAATATATGCCGTATGGTAATATCTCAATTGCCATAGGCGCCCCACTAGCAGGGAATGCCATCAACCGGAAGTTCTCATATCCAATTTCCCGGCAACCAAGGCGGCATGGGCCAGATCACACCGGCGTATGATGGTCCAGATGCGCCAAATGCAGATACAGCAACAACGAAGCGGTGGCGGCTTCAATAGCAATGCGGGAGATGACAGCGAATGGTGTAAAAATGTATGTCCTGGGGAGGGGGGGTCAAAGATGAAATAGAGGCGCCTTGAACATCCAACAAACCGCCCTTTTGTCACTCCAGCATACTACCATGAAACAGCACTTCGCTTTGCACGTGATAGCCTTTGCAAAAGTGAAGTTGTTTTAACCTTTTGCCGGTCGTTCTGATTTCCATGGTTGATCGCGTTGCGCTCCGTGGTTGACGCCGCCAGCCGAGCGGTGCAAATATCCCCGCCCCAAAAGCTTCCCCCAACATCATGTCCCGGCACCACCATCTTGCACATCACCGCTGCACACCATCTTTACGTCGTCCTTGCATCGCAATCGTGCCCATAATCTCGAAGACGATCGCCCGCCGTCCTACCCAATGAACACCTTCGGCCGCAACCCCTTCACTCCCGTTGTCGCTGTTGTCCACCTCAAAGAGCGCCGCCTTTCACCTCCTCTTCACCTCCGCCGCCAACTGCGCGGACCCTACGACTGCCATCCGAATTGTCTCTGAGCCGCAAGAGGAATCCATCAAAGGCAATAACAGAAGAAGAATTGGATATGGGGTGGGCAATGCATGAAGATAGCTCCCAGCTCGTGCCCGCAGACGTCTGGAATTTCCAACCACGGGAATACACTGGGCACATGGAGATGCCAATGCTCGTCGATCTTCTGGATCTCTCTTGTGAAATGAGAAACGCAAGGTGGAAGACGCATCCTCCTCTTATGCGACCTAGCAAGCAGTAGAGGATAGTCGCTAACTTTCAAAAACGTAAATTCTACAGATGCACTCCAGCGACAGCCCCTCATGACGTCTCCATGCCCTTATCCTCGGAATCCCGCACTTCCTCAAGCGCTTAGAGGTCCTATCATGCATCAGCACTGGCGAGATCCTCTCTGCAACCCTCACAAACACTGGCCCGATTACCGGCTTCCAAAACGACGCACATCATCTTTGCGACTGAAGAGGCTGCCGTTGCGCTCGCCCAAGGTCCGGCGCTGCTAGTCAAGAACCAACGCCTTACCGCGAGCCTAATTAATAGCCCAGCTTAGCGTATAAGCCGCGAAATGCAGGAGAGTGTTGAGCGAAATGGTTAGACCTAATTCATGCGCACTGCAGAGCGCCCGGACGATTCTGCACCCGCGGACTTGGAACATCACTTCCGCATGATGACGGGCGAGTGAGAGAAAAACCCAGTCTTGCGGTACTGGGAAGCGGCGGGCGATCCGGCTGTGCCCTCTTAGATACTACCAGTCGTCAAAATCCAACACAATCAGATTACTGCTGTCGTTCTGCTCACACTCGAAAAGCGTATCCGCCTATGTCCTCTTCGCCCCACCTACTTCTCCCATATCTCCCCGCTTTTTCCAAGCAGGGACTACTGTACCGAGAGCCTGCAGTATAATCCTCTGAACTCCTTGCGCACCGATTGCTCCGTCTATCCTCGGTATCCCGCAACACCTCCGCCCCTACGGGGCGCTCTCTTGCGTTACTACCAGCAAGGTCCTCTCGGCTAGCCTTGCCAACACCAGTCCAGGTCTACAACTAGAAATGCAGTAGCAGATGGCGTTGACAACCTTGAGCTCTGAAAGACAAGGAAAAAGAGAAATGGGAGGGCAGTGCGAGGCGGGGGTTCGCCCGGACAGAAGCAACGCATGAAGTAGTGGAAGAAGCAGGCGGTGGCTGATTTGGGACTGCAAATAGCTTCTTAATTCCCAGACTTCGGTTTCTAAACAGCTCTCGCTTCTTTCTAAATCGTTAGTCTTCGAAAGCTGCAGCAGAACTTTGGGATAAGGAACCAGGTGCCTACCGTGAGTGCCTTAAATGTGGTTTTGGCCCTAGCATTTGCTAACATGCCTGAATGTAAGCCGGTCCCAGGAGAGCACTATTTACTAGCCCTATGCAGACTCTTAGAAAGCCTAAGAGTAAGAAAATATGCCTAAAACTCCGGACACCCTAAAGGCGTTCAACTTTAACTGGCGAACGGAGGCGAAACCCGTATTGCGAGGACGTTTCTTGTGTCCAGTATAGGCCAGGTCGTCTCAAACCCGGAAAGGCGGTCTCAGATTTTATTGTTAAAGGTTCGAATGATGTGGAATACAGAAGAGATATCCACACCCCTCTCCCTTTTTTTCTTGATACCAGCCGCTGGATTCGTTCCAATCTTCGGATAGAAACCATCTCTATTAACGGCGTAGAGTACTGCGCTCGAATGTCTATTGGCAAGTGAACTCTTCGCCTCAGTATCTCACTTACCTCGTTGCAAGTGAGGACCTGACGATAGTATTGGTAGGGTCAGGACATTGCGTCTTCCTGAACAAAGTCACCTGGTGTCAACGACAGCCAGCAACGCCAATTCTCTATGCCCTCGACTCTCCAGTTACAGCCAGCACTCGGATATCCTAAACCATACTCCTCCGCAAAGAAACCGTCCTGTGTAGGTGGTGGGACGTCTTATTCAGTTTGTCATCTGTTTAAACTGCTTAGGCACGCCGCAGAGAAGTCCTTTTCTACAAATTCTCGCCGCCGCTTTCACGTCAGACCGCACCTCACCCGCTCTATCCACATCGGGATTACGTCCCTAGTCCACTCCACTGCCAACAAGAATGCCTGGTCCGCGCCAAAATGTTAGCATCGCGACATCGTGGATCGCCCCAAACGCCAAGCGTGCAGGCCGCAGCGCTATATCGAACGTGTTCTACAGCGGGACCGGGGAAACTGCTCCCTCACGACATCGGACTGTCGCGAAGGTGTCGATGCTGGTACAAGGACGAACTGGCACGGATCCTCACGTTCAGTGTCGGTGTGGTTGTGGACCACGAGTTTTGAATGACGACACAAAGGCCCAGTCTATGATGCGGGAGGATCTCGAGACTAAGCGCTGAATCTGTTTCATCCGCGTTGTGAGCTCCCGCATTACTACTTCAACTCACTTGCCTGTGAATAAGTAGCCGGTTCCCATCTCCTCTGAAGTGAGGACCTTCTGTGTGGAACAGATCACCGGCGAAAAGGAAGACGAGTCCAGCGTTGGCGTAGTAGATCTGGTTTTCGGCGATGTTGACAGCCACGAGGCCGCGGTCCAGGAAGACTATCCAGGACACATACTGGAACATAACGGCATTTCCGAGGCGCGGTTCCACGCTTTGATGAGAACTGGCCTGTCAGCTCCGCTAGCTCTGAAGTATTGTATTCAAACCGCTGCTCGCGAGGGGGCAAGAAGGCCGATGCTGCGAAGACCCGCCTTATCACCAGCTTCCAAATCACCTACTCTATCTTCACGACTGACCCTGCTACCGTTTTTCAAGGTACTAGGGGCGGCGTCTTGCTATAAATCTCAACCTCACTAATATTGCCCGAGCTGACGATTGAGGATTGAACACGCCTGCGCCTCCACGAGGACCTCTCCCTTGTCACCACCGACGAGATCCGCTCCGCACGCCTCGCCAACATGGGCTAAATCCCCGGCTTCGAGACTATCTACCTTAGTTTTGTCGAGCCGTTGCGCCCGCGGAAGTTGCGCCGCTGCTCGTCAGAGACCGCCGTCCAACTACTTCTCCCGTTTCTCTCCCCCACCCCCGGGTAAAATCTACCGCACCGGAGACCGGCAGTACGAAACCCCCCTTGTCTCTGACACCCATCGCTCCGTCCTCATCCTTGCACATCCCGCATCACCTACCTCTCCCGCTTCACTACGGGCATGAGCCTCTCCGCGCGCCTCGCCAATACCGACTCCATCACCGGTTTGTAGAGCGCTACCTCATATTCGTGTAAGAAGCCAACGCCCCTGGTCTGCACAGGCCCCGCCACCACTTCTTAAGGACAATCGTTTTACTACTCCTCCCATATCTCTTCCCCAGTCCCGGGTAAGATCTACCGTGCCGGCAGCCTGCAGCGCAAGCCGCCCTAATGTTTCTGGCACCCACCGCTCCGTCTTCACCCTTACTATCGTGCACCATCTGCCTCTCCCATGTTACCACCACCACGATCCTCTCCGTACGCCTCTCCAGGCCCCATCACCGGCTTCTAGATTGTCCACCTCATATACGATAGAGTCGTCGCCGTTGAGTTAGCGCAGGCTGCACCGCTGCTTATCAGGGCCCGCCCTCTTACGGTCAGCCTCATCAACAGCTCGACGTGGCGCATGAGTCAGGAGATGCAGGAGGGCGTTGAGAGCAAGGGATGGACGAGGTTCGTGCGGATTATGTAGCGGCCGGATGAATTTGATGTCGCGGGTCTGGAAGCATCGTCTCCGTTTGCTAACGTGCAAGTGGGAAAAGAGCCCAGTGTTGCGGTGTTGGACTGGGGGTGGGAATATCCCGGACTGAGTGTGTACGGGTCAATGAGGCAAGGCAGGCGGTGGAGCGTGGTGGTGTTGGTCGAGACGAGGAAGTCGGCATTGCTGATTTGGCTAGCGCCGCCCTGAGGAACGGGTTACGTAGTATGTTCCGACTTGGATGATGGAGAGCGGGCGACTAGCTCAAGGAGAAGTCGATCGAAGAGGGTAAAGGTGCCATGGGTAGTGCGACGCGATAGCACGCTGGGGTTGGGCACGGAGACGCATCTCAGTGGCATGTTCGAGGTGGACATACGGCGCATCAAGGCGAAGATCTCAAGGATATAGGAGCCGCATACTGTGAAGGACCTGAAATGGAAGTGGATATACTGCGCCTTGCCTGAATCGCCGAGCTTGCAAGATATAAAGTGTATAGAGTATGGACTCAGTGCCTTTCCTTCGTTGTTCAATCAGAGATTGTTTGGTACAAAACACGTATGGAGTTTACGAACTGGTTTAACGGCCAACCCACAGAGTGGAAGTGGAAGTGGTGGAGTTGTCACGTGGTAATCACGTGTTCCTCCTTGTTTCCGTGAAGGAAAAACGGGAGGCCATGGGGCTGGTATCCGTTAATACTTCTCACACTGCACCATCCAGAACACATTATAAGATGAGATAATACAGGATTGGTGTTGCGGAGGTGGGGAACGCAACCGTCGTCCTGCTCGTAGGAGAACTTCTTGCATCGCTCCAACGTCAACCCTTCCTCTTTTCGGTCAGCAACACGATCCCAGTCCACCACCTGCAGCCTTTACTGGAAGCATCATTCGCAGTATCCTTCTCGTTTCTTTCCTTAGAAGCTTTGCTCCTGCGCATCCCACCCGGGGCTCGCTGCCAGTATCGTACTGCCCTCTATATCATGCAATCGTCTTCCAACCGCTGACCTCACTCAAAGGAAACCGGAACACGATGGAGGCAGGATTTTTGCCGCAACATACCGTCTGCGTTGTCTTTTTTGAGAGACTACCTTCGTGGCTCCAGTTCTACCTCACCACTACCGATACCGTGGGCTCCGTCGTCCTTCCTCATCTGCCCACCGGCTGGCACGTCGACCAAGCCATCATGTCTGAAAAAGAGCGCCTGGTCATCATTCGCTTTGGCCGCGAGTGGGACAAGGACTGCATGGCCCGAGACGAGATTCTGTTCCGGATTGCCAACCGCGTCAAGAACTTCGCCGTCATCGCCCTCTGCGCTCTGGACCAGGTCCCTGACTTCAAGCAAATGTATGTATCCTCCCCGGCCTTGCGCCTCTACCGCAGAAGGAAGCGAAGCTAACTGCGATGCTGGCCCACGCCAACAAGCAGAAGAAGAAGAACAATGGCCGGTCCGGCTAAAAGACGCGACGATGCGGCTGCAGCAGTCCCCTCGGTATCCTCCTCCTCTTCCTCTGCCGCCTCCACCAACTCCACTACCGCCACCTCCGTCTCCTAGTCCTTCAGCTCGCCGCCCTAAAATACACGGCCTTGGCCACATGGAACACCTCCGGACCATATTGCTTACCTCTATGGCGGCTCCGCAACGCTCAATCGTCCTCGACCTCTTCGAGATCGGTCGTGCGTTGGTCAGCTTCTCGGTTGCTGAGGCTCAGAAGATTAGGGGGCTAAAGAGCACGGACATTCATGAGACACTCGGATATGCGGATAACCTTGGGCGTCAACCACTCGTGTGTCAACTGCTCGGCGGGCAAGATTCGGCGGTTGAATGAGTACACCGTCGAGTGCCGCCCTCAGCAGCGTTTACGTGACGACCTCCGCCATCCTGGATGACTCGAAATGTTATCGTCGGGTTGATGGTTACCTCTCCTGTCCTTAATGCAGCCAGAAGCTGTATGAGCAAATGAGCTTCTTCAAGACCAATATCGAGCAGCTGGACAACATTGCTCGCATGCAGAGATTCATGTCGTTCATTCCTCTCCTCGACGACACGAACGTGACGACATTGTCTCCCGTCGTCGTGCAACTCGGCATGGCCTGCATCCAGATTGCCCTTGCTCGCATGTGGTCTGCGTGGGGACTGAAGCCAGTCGCCGTGCTTGGTTGCAACCTTGGAGAATATGCCGCACTCCATGTTGCTGGTGTCATTTCTGCCCGCGACATGACACTTCTAGTTGGCCATCCCGCCGAGCTCTCGGAGGCAGATTACACCGCCTACAGTCATGGCATACTGGCTGTTAGGGGAGGTGTCGAAGCCGTTTTTCCCGCTCTCGGAGTCACCCCATCCCTTTACCGTGACCACCATCGCCAGGCCGCGGGATCACCACCACTACACCGTTGCAGAGCTCGCGGTATACTCGAGGCGAGGGGAAACCGAGAAGCTCATGGCAAAAGTTGACTGCAGAAATGAGAACCCTGAGTCCCATACCGCACCAATTTGACGAGAGAAAGAGACAGAGTTTGGCAAAAGCCCACGGACTGCAGCTCTTCACTTCAATTCTAGAAGTGAAAAATCACTGTTCAGCAGCGCGAGAAGCAGTCGTACGCCCTTTAACCGCTGGAACGACAGCGTGACGCAAGTTCCCGCCCGCTTCTTTGCTTCCTCTCCCAACGTCAACTGCAGCCAACGCCGACATCGCCAACGTCGACACCTCCATCGCAGGCCCCGCCAAAAGCCAGGAAAAGATGCACAATGGCCGGTCCGGCCAAGAAGCGCATCGCTCTAGCCGTCGAGGCGATCGCCTAGGTCCTTGATATGCATTATGGCTTCGAAGAAAAGGTAGACCCGGAGATAGTGGAGCTATCGGGCATCAATAACTGGCGGGAGGTCGCCGTGGTGCGAGGCTTGATTGAGCCACCATCACTACACCGGCTCGGAGCGTCGCGGCTCACGTCCTGCTGGACTTTGATCGGACCCTTGCTCGATTCGTGAAGGTCATGCCAACAGACTACAAGCATGTCTTTCTTGAGCAGAAGCGAAGAAGAAGGATACCCGCTACCGATCCTCCCAACGCCGAGGGAAGAGGAAGAGGTCTGGGAACGGTTATGGGAAAGATTTATAGCGTGTCGGGGGACTGCAATGCATAATAGGTAATGGTCGGTTTCACAGAGTCTTGACACTCCTTCTGTAGCAAGCATCTAAAATATTATCACTAAATAGAAGAGTTTCATCGCGTTGTGAAGCAGACATGAAAGAGTTAAGAGGTGGAAATAGGTTGATTTGCAAGATGTTATCGGGTATAGAACGTCCGCTCCATACAATTTAGATGCTCGCCCGAGTGAAAGTACCTAAACGCCGTGAAACCAAGCACATACTGAAGTTCAAGATAGTCTCCAGACTACTCTTAACTTCTTCATCACCTAGGTGAAGCTTCAGCCGCAGCTCCTCCGCCTTTAAACTCTCGCCACTTCCAACCATAAGCTGCATGCCCAGCGATCCAGGCAAGCCATAGTAGATCCAGCTCCACCTCAAGTCTTCGACGGTATGTGGCTCATGCACCCACAGATGATGGCCTTGATGTGTCGCACGTCCAGTTGAACCTCTAGATTGCCCTCAACAACCTCACCGCTCAGAGCAAGTTCCTCACTTTCTCCAGCTAGAAGAAAGTGAAGCGTTGTCCAGTCGGATGTTATTAAAACCGATTACAGTCGTAACAACAGACGCAGGATGTCTTGAGCGGAGGCGGTACGATGTATTCGCAAGTCAACTCCTCTCCTTCTTCCGAAGCGCTCCTACCACCGCGTAAAGCGGCGGAGTGAAGGCAATAGCAGGCTTTCCATATCCCTCACTTAGTGCAAATTCCCGGCGGCCTTGAAGCCGACCGTCTGGAACTATGGTTTGATCCCTTCAATGATGTAGTTGTTGTTGTGATCGTACGGGACTTGCACGCTGACTGTCTTCACGGCGCGCTGGCCGTCTGATCTGTAGTCTGGGTTTGCGAACCAGTCGTGTCCACCTCGCGCCGGTAGCCGTTGTCTAGGAGGTCGGGGGGTTTGTCCTGGGGTCGACGGAATCGGACTAAGGTCCAGGTTTATCTTGGCTGAAGTTTCTCGGCCCAAACTCGCGAGACTTGGAGCTCGATCGTGATTGGGACCTGCAGCGTCGAGATCGTCCGTTGGAAGGTTCAGAGAATCGTGAAATCGGACGGGGTCTGGAAAGATACTTCAAGGGTCGAGAGTCCACGTTTGCCTTCGGCCCCGCCGTTGGAGCCTGAGTTGCGGCGGTACGCGACTGCTGCCTGAGACAGCCTGATCTCGAATAGGTTTGATGGGGTTACGAAAATGTTCATAGCTAGGACGGTGGTCGCACTCGTGGTATAGGCCGTCCACTTCGAAAATGGCGACACGCTTCTCTGTACCGTGGCTTCCGAGGCTAGACCCTTGACAAACAGCGGTGCGGCCTGTGTTAGCGCGACGGCGGCGGCTTCTTCAACGGACAAGAGATACGCGATCTGGAAGCCGCTGATGGGGCTGGCATTACCGAGGGGCGCTGGAAGAATCGCGCCACTGGTGACGCTGGAGAAAACCTTATGGAGGTGTATATAGTGTGGAATGCCGAGGATCAAGACTTTGCGGTGGGTGCCGGAGGTATCAGAGGGTTTGCATTCCTGGTGTTTGGTGCGGTGGTTCTTCCATAGAGCGGGGAAAGAGACATGGAGGAGGTGTGCACTTCTTTCAGGGAATCGTGGGCGGATGGGAGCGTCTTGGGGGTGTCGGGGACCAGGGCTGTACCGGGAGGCTGCCAATCGGTCCTATTCTAGACGCGATCTGAAGGCTGGGGGCAAGTGGCGACAGCTCGTGGAGCAGGTGAAAGACCACCAGAGACATCGCACGGCGGTCACCGCCAGGGACATCGCACGGCGGCCACCACGCTCCAAAGGCGGTGATGCTGGAGAGTGCCTTATGGAAGCGGAGGTGATGTGAGATGGCGAGGATGTCCATTTCTCACATCGTTGCTGAAGGAGCAGCTATCGCTAGTTCCGAGGAGGTTGGATATTACAGATGGAATGAGACTGAAGCATGTTGGAGCTGGAGTAGCTGAGGCGGCCTTTTCGAACAGGTGGATGACTGTGGAGTCGACTTCAAGAGGGCTGGAGTGGAGTGGGGTGGAGTGAGTTTGAGGCTTTGAAGTGTCCAGGAACTTCATTAGGACGTGCGCCGCTGATCACATGATGCTACCATCACGTGTAAGAAGAAAATACCCAATCTAATAGACGAGAAGAGGTCTAGATCTAGGACTTCCCTCTCCTTCTTACTCTCTGCTAGGCATTACCGAGAAAATGTATAAGGGGCTACTAGGGGCTATAAGACTAGTAGATGCTAAGCTCTAATATGTCTTAGACATGCTATATACTTACAATTTTCCCGCGCTAAGCTCCTTCAGCATTTCCTCGAGACTCAAAAGCTTTCTTCTGTACTCATATTACGTGCTCGGAACTTCCGAGTGCTCCTGCAGCTTTATATTAATTTCCCAGGAGTATTATAGGGAGGAGCAAGGCCTAAATCCATTCCAGAGTCCAATTTAGTTCCACCACGGTTCAATATCTTTACCGCGCCGGTGAAACATCCAATGCTAGCTTTGTAAAGGTCGTACGTCGTAAGATACCTATAAAGTTCTTGCTTGATATATACATCTTACTGCTTCTGTCGGATTTAGAATAGCCATTAAATAGGGCCAAATACTGCTGACTAGATAAAAGCATTAAAGTCCCACTAGTCCAGTTAGTTAAAGGAAGCATATTAGACTTCCTCTTCTAGACTTCGCAGCAACTAAGAAGCGCGGTAGATGGAATACGGAACAGTCCAATTTTCCCAGCTAGAACAAGAATCACCAGTCCTCAAGCCCAAGGTCATCGACAACCATTCGGTTTACCACAAAGCCGCCGCTTCCCGGAGCGCAGACAGAGCACTCCATCTCAAGTCGCACATTCGAAGCAAAATTACCCATCCCAGGAAAGCTGCGGTAGCACAACTGCCCGGTACATAGTCGCGCGTTAAGACCTCAACATTAGATTCGAAGCGCGAAAATCAGATAAGCACTGGGTGCCAGGGGATTACAAGTACACTATACCTAGGTAGCCAGCCCATTCAGGCTCTCTCCAGGGAAATGATGGAGGGCGGTAACGAACTAAGATCCCAACTTCGTCGATCAAGGAAGCTGGTACTGAAGTTTACCTTGGTAAAAGTGGCCGGAATAGACTCCCTAAGATTGGAGCGAGTGTTAATAAGGCTGTACACCAACAAAACAGGAATATTTCTATGCTGGTATTTAATAGACCATATACTCTTTAGCAACGGTCCGCTAAGTAAGATCCAGTCTCACTTGGCACCTCCTGCTGCTAAAGCTAATACCGGTCCGACCTCTTCACCTCGAAGACCCTCTGACGCGGCAACCAGGAGAGCGATCAAGATTATACCAAGACTTCGTCGTGGTGAGGTGAAGTCTATTTGATAAGAGGCAGGTAAAGGAAATCATCCGGCTCTCCTAGTTGGGCGTTAGCGACGATCAGACAGTGTTCTGGATGAGTTGCTATTCTGGAACCGGTCAGAGGACAATATCCAATTTCCCCATCAGCCAGTCAGTCCTTGGATCAAGCAAGCTAGCACTAAACTTGAACAACTTCATCTACAGAGGTACCCAGCGCTTTACATCCCGGCTTATTCCCAGTGCGCATCCCTCGAGCTTTAAAAGTCTTCACCTCGATGCCGCAGCCGTTCCATGTATGAGTTGGGCTGATTAGACAGTTCGCGCCGGGAAGACGTTGTGGCCATGATCGTGGTAGGATACAATCACGCTCACCCGGACGAGGCGTGGGATCTCCCAGCCGTTCGCGCTCGCTTCAGGCGAAGCGCTCTCGATACCGGTCGAAGACAAGGTCGCCTTCACGTCGAGAATATATTGGAGGTGAAGTACATGGTGAACATACTAGTAAACAAATGGTCCGAGGACGGTTTCGGTTTACGAGATGCCGAGATTCCAAGTGTCTATGTTAGCACGCCTGTTCCCATTCCCACCTGGCACGTTGTCGTGGCTGATGCCAGTGCCCGCCGCATTCCTCCGGCTCAGGTTCGGCGAGATGATCAAGCAAATAAAGAAGAAACCAGCAATCGAGCTGACCATTATGACCTCACGACTCTCGCTATCAGCATCCAGAAGCCCTCTGCAGGACCGATGATGAGGTTCGAGCGGACCCTCTTCTCTGGTTCACGCTTCATGGTCATGCTCCAATTTGATCGCCCTACAGACTTCGACCCCAATCTTCTCCAAAGTTCACGGCCCTCGCCATTCCTCATCCTGATACCTTTGCCAGAGATATGGAATTGGAAGCTGGTCTGAAGCATATTGAATAGCTGGAAAAGAAGGTGGAAGCCACAAGGAAAGTGGGTGAGGCGCGCCAGCCCAATGAGAATCCCTCATGACGTTTCAGTATAAGGAAGATTTGGAGGCTGAAATCCTACATCTGTTCTGCGTCCTTGAAACCGGATGTCTGGAGCGTGAAAATTGGGAAGATGGGAAGGATTTTAAGGTACCACTTGAGAGAGTAAAGAGCAAGGAAAAGACAACCCTCAAGCGAGTAACCCCAGTCGACAAGATCGCCGGAGTTATGTAGTGGCAGTTTCAGAGATAGGCTCCATTGCTGTTTAGCAAAAGGAAGGCTCAGCATTCCTGAGAGAGTTTTCATCGCTGCTGATCTGCTTACTCTATCTCTCGCCGTCCTGATATTGCATGAACGCTTGCGGAGCAACACGGTCGCCGTGAGTGAGGGCGACCCCGAGCCTATGTCTTGGGTGTGGACATTGGCGAAGAAGAAATTCATTGCAATGACCACCTAATTCTTGCAGCGTAGCATCCCATAAAGGGTGTCAGCAGCGAAGTAGCCCTTAGTAAGCAGCGTGACGGGTTGGTGTCGGAGTGGCGCCCACCTGGAACATTAGCGGCATATAGCACCAGTCCTATTACCTACTCCAGGGAGAAGCCAGCTGGTCAAGGATAGGCCAAGCCGTGGAGAGTTCCAGGCGTCGTCGTCGTCTAAGGGATACTGGAAGGCGTTAGTTTCACGGAGGATATTACGGTTATTGGCAAATCTTTACCTTTTCCATAGTCTCAGATCAAGCCTATGCTAGGCCGCCCCCGACAAGATAGCGACTTTCCAATAGCTCTCTCTTTTGGAATTACGTAGTGACTAACTGCGTTGTCGCAGTTGCTTAACCACCCTTTATCGAGCTTAAAATTCGTGAGGACATTGAGGCATTGACCGGTGTGGCATGCGATTTCCCGCTGTAAGCGTTTTATTTTCCCTTTCATCTTATGCGGTAGAGTAAAGAAGAGGGTAAGGAAAGAAGTGAAGAGGAGGTGAAGATAAAGAAGGAAGAAGGAAAAGGTTGTGGAGGTTGGTGAAGAAGTAGGCGGTAGTAAGACAATAAGGGCGGCGAAGGTTGCGAATAGACTATGGTCCTAAGCCAGCGCATGGCCACTAAGACCCTTCTAAATCACATCTTTATAAGCTATTAAGAGAATAGATAAGCCGGCGATGGCGGCTTTATGCCACTCGGACGACCAGATATCGCAGGTGAGCGTCCCAAGGGCGTAGATGCCGCCCTCGCAGACGACCTCGCGTTCTTTAAACCATAGCTGACAAATGAGATACAGCTACTTCAATAGAACCTTTATACTAACAAGCCGTTATTACTAACCTTCTTAGGACGTGCAATAGTGAAATGACGGAGGCAAGATGGAAGACTGAAAGTTACGCTATCAGTAATGACCTCTAAAGCTTCCCCACCGAGTCGAACAGCATCAACGCAGAATAGCAGCGGGCCGATAGTCTTATTATCCTACCCCTCCGGATGTATAGCACTAATGCAGCCCAGACAGACATAGCTTTTTGCCTATATCCGGCCTCCCAAAACACACCTCCGGACTCTCAATTAAACGCTTCCTGTGATGGAAGACGAGGAAGTCGCCCTAAGCCGAATACATACGCGAAAAGCAGTAAAAGAAGCTGGAGCATACAAAGAAACAGAACCGCGAAAGAAACTCAATTCAGGCACTTGCCGATCGACGCCTTCTATGACTGGTAACGGATACCCATGGTGCCACGAATACCTCTTCCTGGTATCGGACCGTCCAGTTCTCCAATCGGACCCTTCTTCATAATATCCCTCTGGTTCTCATCGAATCCCAGCGATCCCACATCGAATGCTCGCGCATGAAAGCCCTAATCCCATGTTTCGTGTAGCGGGAAGGTGGTCGTGGCGGGGGCAATGGTACCATTGGTAGGAACGGCGGGCGGGCGGTTCCAAAGAGTGTAGCGCGACACATGGGGCAGCTCGCTTTGCCTTGATCAAACCACTTACAGAGGCAGTCCGCGCCAAAGATATGACCACATTGCTGGATCTCAATAGCATTCCTCTTGATCTTGCCCCTGGGGGGGGGGGGGAGCACAAGAAGTATGCTCGCGAATGAAAGCCCTAATCCCATGTCTCGTGGAGCAAAAATATCGTCGTGGAGCGGGTGGACGATGAAGGGGATCCGAGCTACCTCCTCTCTTTCTGCCTAACCAATATACCTTCCTCCAAGAGTAGTGTCCGGACCTCTCGTGCCGAACCGTTGCCAGCCAGCGAAACGATTAAGCAACAGCTTCCCGGTATGGTATCCAGCATGTAGTAGTCTTTTGTACCTTTCCCGGTTGTTCAGCAGCCTCTTGCCCAGCTGCGGCGGATGGCGGCCACTGCCGCACGACGTGGCGATTCGTTTCGGACAGGTTGACATGCGGCTGCGTCTGATATATGAATGCTAGAAGGAGCTCATTCTCGCAAGTGCATGCTTGGGTAGAAGGAGTAGTCCTGAGTGCGTGCTATCAGCTAGGAGTACGAGGGATGCGAATCTAATCCAGTACCTGTTGCTGCGGGTTGCAGGGCGCTACTGCAGGACAAAGAGTCCGGTGTAGTGCGGGTTCAATTTGAGGATTGTGCGCCAGTATCGGCGATTGGAAGGGAATGGAGTAATGCGTTGGGTGTCGACAGTAGATACAGAGCGCAGGTAGGACGTGTAGCATGGCGTATCTGGAGAAAATGATTGAGTCTGAGGCTGTGTAGCAGTTCCTCCATGAAGGTCTCGTCGTCGCCGTTGCTGATCGCAGCAGGGCGAAGGGACTGAAGGGATTGAAGAAGGTGCCCATGAGATGGAGAAATTGGCGGATGCTTGCGATCGGCCCCGGCTTAACATCATGCCCGTCCAACTCAACAGAAGGCGCGCATGGCGCGTCACGTGACGCCTGCGTTCCATCAGCATCAGCTCAGCTCAATGAAATATGCAGGACACGTACGGTGAATTCCATTGGGTATCACAGACAAGATATAATTCCATGTCATAACTCGTCGCCAGCCTGGGTGCGTGATGGAGCCATAACTGCTATGGCAAATGCCGTTGAGAACGCTCTCCCCATGGTTCAAGGCAAGCGTCACCGTGCTTTCTTCAAACCTGATTTGGAAAGTGCCTGCATTGGAAAAAAGCTCTAGATAAAATGACCACGACTCGGAAAAAAGACCGTTACCTACAAGCGCTGGGTGTCCACGATAGCATAACCCCCCAAGAAACCACGCCGTGCCAGATGAAATGCTTGGCAAGAAAAACAAGGACGATCGCTTGCTCCAGAGGCATTGCTCTGCTTCATGGGACTTCCTCCCGTCATTCCCTTCCTACCGTTCAACCAGTGTACCCCAGCCGGGATCCCGCCCCAAGTGCTCTTTTCGTCTCTGCCTTGCGCTTGGCGTTATGATTCTTCATAAGTTCTTCCCTATTCAGTCTGTCATCTTTTGTCTTAGGGCTAGGGTGGGGCGGCCTCCAGGAGCGGAATGAGGGCTCGCAAAAGGGCTAGGAAGGCGCGGAGTCGCTGAAGGCTGCGATCGCTGAGGATGTCATGAAAAAGAACCCATGTTACCACTGGCAGTCGCAAAGATATGAATATAGGGGGTAATAAGACCGTCGCTGAGGTGGCTGCGGGGTGGCTTGAGGCAGGCGTCGAGGAAGAGGCTCGGTGAATGCGGCTCGCGTTGCACGCCTGGCGTAACTGTGTAACCTCGAGGGTGCGTCCACCTTGGGCTGCCGGAATGCCGTTCTTTCTTTCTCCCTCTTTCGAATTGAATGATGTTCTTCGGGGTAAGATAAGTGCCGTTTGCGCACGAGTCCGGCTCATCCTCGACGCTATCCCTGATCCTTATTGAAGAAGGCCTTGCGCATTGCCGCGGCCATGCAACCTCAAGTCCAGGCTCATGATTCCCAAGCAGCTCTGAATGAAACTGAGTTCCCCGTTTCACGAGGTGCTGCCTTGTCGTCTTCGTCCACGGTGGCACATGGGGAGCCTGCGTAATACGTATCGACGTCAACCGGTCCCCAGGCAATGAGACCTGAAGTCTTGCGACTGTTATTGTCGTTGCAGTCCTTACACCGCCATTTCTTGAGAGTATCCATGAACTCGGTCTTCCGCTCCGCGGCTTCGTCTTCGTCGCGCAAATGTCCATGTTGTATACCGAAAGCGGAGGCAGACGATGATATTGAAAGACTTGCTGGATCGGCTAGTGGAGTCGGTATTGCTGGCCACACTTTCTTCCATAAAATCCTTCTCGAGAATTGGTATTTCGCGGTACTTGTCCACTCGGGTTGCAGCACTACAACCTAGGGTCAGCAACTCATATGCAGTAACGTATCAGGATAGCATGCTGATACAGGAGGAAGTAACAGGTAGTGCAACAGCAGTGCTGCAGCACGGTATCAGTACTGTATCAGGAAACAGGATGAATCAAGTAACGCGTCAGGAAGAGATACCACGTTATGCCCCCGGGGCTGGCCCCCCTCCTTCCCCTAGTATATAAACAACGAGCTAGACACCCATAGAAATCAGAGTTCACATCAATTTCAACCTGAGTTGTCCCCAATGTGTAGTTACGGCACGAGAGAGGATCGTCTAGAATGGTAGGCTCACGGATGACGAGCCGGTCTACTTCGAAAGCTTGGATGCGACTGCAAGATTTGAAACGAATGATCCGAAAGGCGAGCAGGATGCCTGGTTCTGGTTAATGTTGACGCAGCTGCTGACTGGTCCGAAGTTTCCTGGCGTAGGCTGAGCCCGTTGTTGAGCAGGCTGACCGCCGCGGCAATGCCTCCCAACCTATCTTTCCATCCTCAGGAACCTCTTATGATATACCGCTGGCTCGGATGCCGTCCTTGATCCTGGTGATCTCCACGACGCTTCTCCCAAGCAGGTTTCTAATATCGGCTGGAGCACAACCACGATCGTTCCACGATGGCTTTCGAGCCCTCCGGTCAGATGGAACTTGTCAGGGCATAATGCAACGTCGAATGGGAATCCAGAAGACCCTTGGCTTGGCTGTCGGACAGGATTTGGGGGCAGCACTCAGTCTCTCTCCGGAGAAACGCAGCGACTCAGCCACCTGAGAGAGAGTAGACGAACAGTCAGATTGACAGGCCTGCGAAGCGCAGCACACGGCGAGCGACGCCCGGGCACACGACGAGCGGCATCCGACGAGAACAGGGTAGCGGAAGGAGAGTGATGGTGATGGAAAGATATAGAGAGAGAGCGAGCTAGCCAGGCAGTACAGGTCACGATCCCCTCGAATGATTACCTGTCAGTTATCGAGTACACGAGCAGGAAGCCTTCGCTGGTCCTCATGTACTGCTCCCGCATGGCCGAGTACTCCTCCTGGCCGGCCGTGTCGAGCACGTCGAGCAGGGCAATCACTTTAGGTTGGAGTATAGTGGATGCCTGGAGTCGGACGAACCTGGTGTCCGCGTTTCTTCGAAGATTGCGTCGTTGACGAGGAGAAGATGGCGTAATGGGCCAGCGAGGATGATGAAACAGGAGGAGCGAGGATTGAGCAGAATTGGCGTCGAGGAATTGAAGACGTTGCCGTGGACGGGAAAGTCGCTAGGAGGGACCGTCAACAATGAAGTACCTCTGGACTTCCACGCGGTGGCGCCCTCAAACACAATGCCGCCAGATATAAGCCCATCAACTACGAAGTGGTCCCTTCGAGTACTAGGTTCCGCGGTTGTATGCATGTGTGCTGGAAACAAGGTGCCAGGTTCATCGGCCCACCAAATGAATCCCTGTACATGGTTCATTTTACCGAATGCAATTGGCCGCCTAGACGCTGTCATCACTTTATCCTGTGCTCCGGGAGCCTCTACAGGCCGTGGCTGTCATCAACATGGCGGTAGCGGACCCTGCGTGGCGGCACTGACGAGTAGAGTTCGCATCGTCCGTGGGCCATGGTGGTGACGAAGTCAGTCATGACCTCCATATCTTAATCCAGCTTTGCGGACACTCCACCCATAGACTTGTCTTCTTTTGGTGGCTGAGGATTGTGACGGGGGGCTGCTCCTGCAGACGGCGCTGATGCATCGCGGCGTCTCCTATCCGAGGACCATTGTGGACGCGCATGGGCGGCAAGATGGGCGCACCCATGGGCTCGTAGTAGGAACTTGAGGGTGGCAGGGCTGGAGGCGCATTGCTGAGATAGGTGCCGGACTGTGGGTACATCGGCGGAACCGCGATGGACAGTTGGCCATAGCGATCGGCGAAATCGTAACCCTTATCTTGTCGCTGGTCATGCTGGGTGGGGTACTGGGGCTGCTGGGGCTGCTTATTGCCACAGCTTGTGGTACGAAGCAGACAGGTTGATGTACTGGTGCCTTTTGGCGGCACAGTAGTGTTGTTGTGGACTTGGAGATAGTGGGACGGGTGAAGGAGGATGTGATTGCGAGAGAAAATGAAAAGAAACAGAGAATGAACATGGCGTCAGCGACGGGCCGATAGGAGCTCGGGAGGCGGACTCGGGAGGGGGACTCGGGAGGGGGACTTAGGTGGGAGTTCGGGAGAACCTGTGCGGGAGCCCCATCTCGTCGGCGTGTTGGACTCGCTGTGTGTGCCGAGGTGGTGGGGTTCCGGAGGCACGTGTTGCCTGAGTTCACTGATTGTGTGTTATGACTTGACCTATATGTACGGGTCAATTAGTGGTCCACTCGCCCTTCGGGGTACCACTCGGCGTAGTGGTTAGATAGTTAGATAGCTTGCTTGTTTCCGTCTTTGTTTCGTTTCTCATCTTTCAACACATTACGCTAACATGACAAGCTTAGGAGTTCGAGTCCCAAAAAAAACTGCCCGGGGTTTTCTTAACATTGCACAGGAGTTAAGTTTTTGCATTTTTTTTGCTCTTTGCCTCCACCACGCGCTAGAGAGCTTTGTGTGTATTTATATAAGCTTGAGAAAAATCTAGCTTCCTTCTAGGATAGGTAGTTGGAGCCAAATCAATTATTTTGGGTGGTTGAGAAATGGTTGTGATCATTTTTTGGTGGGCTGAACTCAGGTTGCAGCACTACAACCTAGGATCAACAACTCATATGCCAGAAAGCTACTCTCCGAACATTAGCTGTAGAGAACCCAGCTGAAATCTCAGCTGTAGAGAACCGAGCTGAAGCCTCAGCTGTGCAGGGCTCATCTGAACTTACTAGCGCGCCACCCTGGGGGTGGCCCCCTTCCTTCCCCTAGTATATATACAACTAGCTAGACGTCTATAGAAATCAGAGTTCACATCAATTTCGACCTGAGTGCTGAGGCGCTGACCTGCGCGAGGTGCTGCATCTTTTGGCCCACTCACCGCGCGCAGCTTGGCCAAAGACCGTCCCATAAGTTCAGATCGTGAATCTGGGTCTTTTCTTCTCTTGCCGTCAGTTCCCAAGTTCAACTCTGTACTTTCCTCCCCACGCTACTTGAGTACGCTTTTCTGCCCTTCTCCGAGTCATCGTCGCCACGCGCATTGCCCTCAGAAGCGCTGCGCCCTTCAACCATCCACGACATGCATCCAGCTTATCCTCATTGTCAAGCTGCAGCCATGGTTGAATCTTTTGCGCCCTATCTGGTCCGGATCACTGCCTCCTCCGAGTCCCTCTTCCCCGCCGCCCTCGTCAACCGACCGCCCGATTTCTGGTACCTTCACGCAAATGAACACTTTCCACAGCGCTGGCAGCCGACCTCCCTCTCGTATCTGAGCCCCTCGCGCTCTACTTCAGTGTACAACTTGGTCATCGAGCGATTGAGGCGACGACAAAGGTTCAGAACGTAATCCCGATGATTTCGATGACCCAATCGCTGTTCGCGGCGGACTTGCCTGAGTTGAGAATGCTGACGGCTCAAGAGACACAAAAAGCTTTGATCGATTGCAAGAACGCCTGTGGCTCCTGAACAGCAGCAAAGAGCGGCTTGGTAGAGCAAGGCTCTCTTTGCGTCTCAGGATCGTGGACAGCTTCAAGAATAATCCGACGAAATTCAAGGAGCTGGTCAGCCCCAATCTGCTCAAGAATAACGTCCTCTTTCTGATAGTAGCCCAACTTCGCACACAAGCCTTCGACATATCCTCGAATCCGCACCCTCAAACAGGATCCTTCTAGCATCGATTCGAGCAGTGCCACACGCTCCGTGAGCGTATCGCTGAACGCAGCCAACCACCCTGTCATGCTCCTCGACAGTCCCACAAACTCCTCCTCCTCATACCCTCAGCAACATTGTGGTCGTGTCAATCGTCAATAGGGTCCACAGGTACGCGGACGTGGATGTGCAGAATCAAAAATGCGGCCAGTCCGGACACCCATCACCGTGTGCGGCGAGATACACGGCCAGCGCGACGACCCCCTCGAGCTCTTCAGACATAATTCAGATCCTGCTTGTGCATACAAAGACATGTCCACCGTATCTACACACCTCCACTCTCCACCGACAACAGTGGTTGCAAGGCCTATTGAGTTGTGGTGGGCCGCTCAGCTTCTACCACTCGCACTTATTAACAGAGACGCGGCTTTCGCGGTCGAGGACATCGCGCGGGGCACGACAGCATGTCAGTTGTGCGGACGAGGCTGGAGTCGGTCCAACTCGCTCAAGTCACCCCGGGGGGCTTCGGGTCTCAATAGCAAGTCGGGGCATTGGTCGCTTGTTCCCTATACTGTAGATTGGGAGCATGCCTCGAATAAGACCCATCTTCCGCGCTCTGCGCCATTTGGTAGCCACGCTGCAAAATCACACCCCATCGCTGTTGATTTCCATCCACGAAAATAGCATTGAATGAAGCCGTCTCAGACGAAGGTAGCACGTGCGCAAGACCAACCCTCTACAGCTCCAATCCTCACGCTCCCTGCATTCCCCTGCCGGAATGACATGTAAATCAGAGTGAAGTTAAAATAGTGAAGGTGAAGTTCCAACACACAATAAAACCACACGACTGCCCTCCGATGCAAATCACCCTTCCCATTCTCAATATTCTCACAACCCAATCTGAACCTATCAATCAAAATGTCTTGGTCCGACATCATCCAAGTAGTCCTCATCATCCAAGGCGTCATGTTGCTCTGCGTACTGGCCGCTCTGGCCATTCTGTACCTGTGGCTTGGGCCGGAGGCCTTCGCGGCGGTTTTCGCGTTTGTGAGAGAGATGTGGAACAATTGGGGTCGGCGGGAGGCGGTCGAGTAGGCGGAGGGGGTGGAGGAGCCCGTTGAGTTGCAGGAGTGGGCGTGAAGGTATGTGTTTCTTTTCGAGATTTAGGAAGAAGACGTAAACATTTACTAATGGATGTTCAGGCAAATAACGACAACGAGCGCCTGGAGGTTAAGATAAGACTCCGGCTCGGTCGATACCACAACGCAGTAAGCTTACTCTATCTGGTCTCAGGTGCAAGATGTAGTAGCTAACTGCTGCATAGGCAGGAACGAAATAGCAGGAAGGAATGGGGGCATGAAGTGGGCGGCAATTGGGAGAAGTAGTAGTTCCTGGCGAGAAGGCCTGCGGATATGACTAGAATGAAAAGTTGAATTCTCGACTCCATGAATCTGCCCATTTGAATTGACACATTGACATTGCCTTCGCACCGTCTAAAGGGTCTTGATATGCAGCATGTATTGAGAATGAATGTCGAAGACAAGCGGTTGGGAATTAAGTGCTTAACTTATGGAAGTCTCGACAGAGTCTTTTGAATTGGCCTGGGGTAACTGACCTGGCCTGCCAGGAACTCTTCTTCAGCCGTAGCTCTATACCCGCCGGACCCAACACCCTTCCTAGAGCTCGGTGAGAGGGCACTCTTCAGTACTCGCAACCGTGGTCTCCTCCTGGCCAGTCTCCTCTCCATCGCCACTCGATATGCTCTTTCTCCTCAGTATTAACCCTCTGCTCTCTATCCACATGCCGCCCTCCAATTGTCGAATCCTTCGCGAATCCAATAATGCAACACGGCTATCTCAATAATTCTCTGAGATTCTTTGCCACCTCTTTCGGTAACCCCCACCGCACCCGCTTATGTGGCAGTATCGGGCAACACGTAAGCTATTGTAGGGTCATCGCCATACGTTCTATGGTGGCAGCGGACTCATCGGCGCGGTCGCTGACCCGGGCAATGTATGGACGGCCGCGGGCTTATCGGTGCGGTCGTCGACCTTGGGAGGGTAGACATGATGGCCTGGAGCATCGTACGGAAGCTCTCGTCCTCTCGTCTCACTTTATATGCCATTAGATTCGCACGTATCTTCTTTCGTAGCAGGCAAACTCCTGCGTCGCCGGTCTGGTAGTGAAGCTCCCGCCCACGGCGTCGGCCTGCAGCGCTTGGGCGGCGGTCAGGGCAGACCTCACTTGTTGTCGCTCAGCTACAAAGTGCTTGTCCCGTAGGTGAAACTGGTCTGCAGATACTCCGGTCGTGGTGGGTGTGGTAGGAAGCCGGCGGGGAAAGACGGGGCGGCGGCAGCGGAGACGAGCTTCTTAGGACGCGTAGCACACCGAGGCCGAGGAGTTGCGATGCGAGAGATTTATATCGTTGGATGCACAAGAGCGGTCGAGGCTGTTACAACATGGGAGAGTAGTGGTACGGTGTGGCGTGCGGTTTGGAGGAAGGGTAGAGCTCGTTGTCGGCGGTCTCGTCGCCTTGGAACCAGTCAGTGTGGCTAAAGTCAGCATCGAGCGTGATTTTCTAGCAGTTTGGATAATACTGGCTGTCGAATCTGGAGAGCTTTCTGGCTTTCGTGAATGGTGTTGATGTGGGCGGGCTCCGGGCGAAGACGGTGGCGGCGGCCATCTCATCAGCGTCATCGACAAGAGGACGTGTCTCGTCGGCAAGGTGCGAGAAATAGGCTACGAGTAATGCGGTAAGCTGGTCTTGACGAAGATTGCGGTGGTCTGTGTACATAGAAGCTGCTGTCTTAGCTATCGTCCGTGGTTTGAAGCTGGTGGCGCCGGCCGCCATGGGGGCCTCAATATCGCAACCTAGTTCCACGACTGCGCACCCACAAGGTACGAGGGAGGTGGCGTTGCCGTGGGTGCACGTTTGCTGCCTCGTTTAGGTGTTGCCATCCAGCGCTTGTCGTGAGTTGTCTCAGTGACGGACACCCGCCTCGCGCGCGCCGGGCTGCAATGTCCTCGCATTCTTCCTGTGAGGAGCTACAGACGCAGCGAGTCCGGCGCACTTGGAGCCGGACGCACATTGAAAGCCCATGGGCTTCATTGTGCGTCGCTCACAGATTCAACTGGGCAGCATCGTGTCTTCGTGGATTGCGACAGACGCATCGCACCCAACCGTCAACACCACCGCGACAGCAAGGCGCCTCACCTGTCAAGCGGGACGAGCGCAGAAACAGAAGTAACAGCTTTCTTCTTCGAGTACCCAGACAAGCTGAGTGACACAATGAAAAAAGAGGTTGGAGAGATAGCTCATCCGAGATGGGATTTCCAAAGATTCCAGTCATTGTGCCATAAGGGCTCTACGAAGCAGACCGACCGTTAGTCTGCGACGTCGGCAGACAGAGCCCGGCAAAAGCAAAAACAAGGGGAGGGGAGAGCGTGGCAAGTGGACGGCGATGAAGGAAAGACGGAGGAGCGGCGAGGTGAGGAGTCTTATGAACTCGAGGTGAGGGCGGAGGGGCCGTGCGCGGCGACACATGAAATCACAACACCAAAAAAGTAGCGGTGAGCAGCAAGCAGGTGAAGGTGAAGCATGTACATGCATTCATCAAGGCAGGGTGAAGAGTCAGCAGTCAATAATCCCAGGTTCAGCCAACGCTCGCTCACACAACACCAAACCAAGTGAAGAGCTTTCTTCTTCGAGCCCCCAGACATGCTGAGAGAGTTAATGAAAAAAGAGTGTGTAATCAACAAGCGATCGGCCAGTCCCCGAAGAGAGTAGGCACTCAGCAAGTGATCAGCCAGTCCCCAAAGGGAGATGGACTTTGTGGGGTTTCCAAAAATTCCGCCGATTTTGGCTCAGAGAGCCAGCGCTGGTAAGGGCCGCGCGAAGAGTTGGGGCGAAGGTTGCTTGGTGGTGTCAGCCTGGGCTCAGAGAGAAGGAAGAAAAGGGGATAACTTTCCGTTCGGGTGGTGTTGCGAGCAGTGCCATTCTGGAAGACCAGTGTTGGCAAGCGCAAGGGGGAGGAGATACTGGAAAACCAGTCCTATGAGCAGATGTTAGCGAAGTGTTCATAAAGAGAGGGGAGGGTGAGGAAAGGAAAGTTGGGGGGCCCGGCCAACCTTATATAGCCAGACGAAAACGCAAGTCTTGGCGCACTAACCCGAAACGGCTGAGCAGACTGTTGCCTGAAAAGCAGGAGTCCGAGATCGCCTGATAGAGGTGAAGTTCTAAGTGGTTCCACGGCCGGTACCTGCCGCCGAAGAACCGAGGATATCCGGAGTCGGAGGAGGTGGGCGCTGGTGGAGCGCAGTCGAGCACCGTTACCAAGCGGCGACACTCTGGAATGGCATCTCGAATGTCATACGTGGTAGTTTAAGGACTGAAGGGAATTCCTGAAAGCTGAAAGTTAAACCCTAGGCTTATGTGTTAGTTTCAGGGCGAACTGAAGCAGCATTACTTCGCTGAGTATGCCCAGCTCATACATGCTCACTAGCTCAGCTTTACACAAACCATATAATTCCAGCTATGTGCCGTATATGAATGATTGTTCTACTGGTAGAGAGCTACAGGCCTCGCGGGTTATTCAAAAGATGATCTCGTAAGTCGTATAATAGGCCTACCCCGATCTTAATCCCAACTGCTCTCATCCACACCTTCCCTATTGCTCCGCCCACCTCGCTCTTTGAATCGATACTTAGTCTTGAGTGACAATCGGTCGACCACTGTAGTAACAAGCACCAACGTCCTCCGCAGTCTTCATCTTCAAGACGTCCGATTGGGTCCCCGGCCCGGATCCGCGGGAATCTTCTTCCGTAATGTCTTTGTCGCAATGCAATTTCACTCGGGTTACAGCAACCTAGGATCAGCAACTTATACGGTTCACGCTCACCTGCGTGCACATCACCCCAGGTATCCCTTACTCTCCCTTTCTCTTCCTTACGGAGTTGTGGTGCTTCCTTGCTGTCAAGGAAACGACCAAGGGAGCGCCCTAAGGGGTAGTTCATCTCGTTCCTCTATATAATCCGCCTTTACGGCATCTACAATACAAAAGAGTTCACATTAATTTCAACCTGAATATTTCAGTACCTCAAGCGCCTAGTCGGTTCATTCAAACAGTTCCCAAATAAGCACACTCACCAAGATCATCCAGCAGACCGCATCCGGGCCACGCCGAACAGAACACCGGCCGAACGAGTCCGGCAAACCCGGCATGGTCTCCCTCCACAAGCTCTAATACCATCCTTACTGACTAGATCTCTCGGGTCTCAGTCAGTTCTTACCCTCCTGCAGTCTCTTTGCTAGGAAAAAGGGAGGAGCAAGCCCCCGAGCTATAAGGTTGCTATATACTCAAGTGACTTCGGTATACTGGTATTAGATAGTGGGGGTGCTCCGAGACTGTAACTAGAAGTGAAAGACGGGTGAGGAGGAGTTGGTTAGGAGGGGGTTGTCACTATTGCCAGCTCGATTACTATCACCAGCTCGAGGCTCAAGGCCAGGGAGTACGTTCGGTTTAGGAAAGAGGATGGTAGACTCGGGGAGCAAATGGAAGAGAGCTCAGCACACACCGCCAGGGAAAGTAAGAGAAGAATAGATAGAGTTGTTCACGGCCGTGGACACGAAGCACAAGATGGGCGGGACGAGGTACCGCTTAGTCTCCGAGGACGGTGGATAGGTGCACTACAGAAGCGATATTGCTCCTGCCGACAAGGGATAGACGGCTTCTAAGGACACATTGGATAGGGGATAGTTGCTCAGTCTCGGTCTTTGTAAAGTGTGTAGTAGAGCAAGCAATAGGCAAGAAGCGTTAGTAGATAAGCTGACAGAGCTTTAGGTCTTACAGGATAGGATTTGGATCATGCGTAACTAAATAAAGATCTCGCTCTTGGCTATTAACATGGAGGACGCCGTTACCAAAGTCGCGGTGGTCGTAGCAGGGATGGGAACCACAATTGGCGCGAAGCTAAAATTGGTAATATTAATGCGAGACAGAATAGACAAAGTAAACGGACTTCCTATATCTAATAAGGGAATCGTTATATAGACTTAGAAAGCGATGGCATTGGTCTTGGCTACTATCAGTAGTAGAATCCCTAGGTAAGAGGCCGGCATTCCTGTGGAATGCACACAATACTATAATACCATTTCGACACATTGAACGAGACGAAGATTTCAATGAGGTGGAATTTATGCGGACTGAAAAACGCTGCAGTCTCTTCTATTCTGAGATTTATCAGAGTAACTAATCGGAGTGTCCACCTCGCGTGCGTATTGGCGGCCTTTATTAATACCTCTAGATAATTTGTTAGTAATGGAAACAAAGCGTACAACCTTGCTTAACTTACCAGACAATGGGTGAAAAGCCTCCGCCTACGCCAGGCACCGGCTAGCCCGCAGAATCTCACGCTGTGAGTTATTTATGTTCAAAGTTAGCTACACGTTTGGCCGGAAAGCTCCACTAGCCACCAGGCTACCCCTTGTCAACCCACCTTCTCGCCAGAAAGAGCCACACAAGGGACACTCTTCACGATGCCTCCGGTAACCGGTAGCATAGAGCTTGCTCCCGTCAGGAACGAATCCATCTCGCGTGCACACTGGCGACCCTCGTTGATGCACCTACGGGTCATTTATTAGTAAAAACAATATAGCATGGATGTTTGTATGACTTACCAGACAATCAGAGACTGACCACGGCGGCAATCTCCCGCCGCGATGACCCCCGGAATCCTGGTGCCGTTTTTCCGGCGGCTTCGATGTTGGATCGCGCGTTCTTCTCAATGTCCTCGAAGACCAGTTCCTCGAGTCCAAGACGCCATTGACAGCAGCACGAGATCTGCAGGGAAGAAACGCTCAATGTCCCAACTTCTTCATCTCCCAGCCGTCGTTTGCTTTGAGTGGCCACTCGAACACATACATTTTGGTGTCATTGCAACCATATGCAATCTCTGTAGCTTCCCAATAACAAGAAAGCTTGCTTCATCCGAATGGTTTCAAAGAGTCTCGAGCGCCCACGTCGTCTGGCCTGCCATCTTTAGTCTTCTTCTCTCTTCATCTCGGTTCGCCACAGTGAGTCAAAGACAAGTGAGCCGCTTTCTCGTCTGGCTTGCCATTGCAGCTTCGGCTTCCTTTGCCTTCTGTCCAGTTGCGATGAAATAGACTCGAGATGAGTGAGCCGCCTTCTCGTCTAGCCTGCCGTCGCGGACTCTCTTTCCTCTCTTTCTATGCAATTGCACTGCGAAAAAGGCGGCCATGGTGAGCCGTCTTCTCCAGCCTGCCATTCCGGCTCCAGTATCTTCGTTCCTCCATCCGGTTGCGCGGTGGTGGACTAAGAGTAATGGTGAGGCGCGTTCTCGCCTGGCAGCCATTGCGCTTCGGTCTATTCTCTTTCCGTTAAACGTCGCTTCAGTAGAACGGAGGCGAGCGAGACGCGTTCACGTCTGGCTTGCGATTGCACCTCGGTCCCTTCACTTCCGCCTTTGACTCAGCGGCAGTGAACTAAAGATGGACCAGGGAGGCGTCTTTCTAGCTTGGCCTGCCATGGTGGCTTCGATTCTTCCAGTCTCTCTCCAAAATCGCTGTGGTCGACCAAGAACAATAGTGAGCCGCCTTCTCGTCTGGCCTGGCACTTCGGCTTTGGATGGTTGTGCTACACTCCAGCGTGGAGGTACCGGTCTCGTCGAAAGGTGGTTAAAAACGTCGCTCTCACCGAAAGACGCACAGGTGAAAGGGTCTCCCCCGCGCAGAAAACTCCAGGTAACACGGCCTGGCCCCGGCTATGTCTGGCTTTCGGTTTACAGCAGCAATAGAGTCGATGTTGAATCGGCCACGAGATAGTATCCCCTCCGACTAAGAACGATAGCATACATCGTCGCTCCTACGTTTGTCCGGCGAGGAGCTGGACCAAGCCGTCAGGTTTCCCGTCCGAGAGGACAAGGTTGCCGCGGTGGTACACGCTGCCTCCGGGACATCGGGAGAATCGAGCTTGGCGGAATATGGGGACGGAGGACCAATCGGCCACGAGGAGTCGGCAGGTAGGCGGGTGAAGAATGGTGAAATCGGAAAAGAAGCAGAGAGGGAGCGGTTGGCGGGCAAGGCCACGGTGGCTTCGACATCAACTGCATCTGGGCCATATGCTTCCAGGAGATTTTCAATACGGTCTCGGTGGTAAAGACAATCTCAATGTTTTCAGCGCAGTTTGTTGCAGGTGCATCTTTGGTAGCCGCCTCTTGTACTGCAGCTCCTCCCGCTCCGCAATCTGCACGAACCTAGTTCGTCCCTTGCTCTCAACCCCCTCCTGCATCTCGCGGCTTATACACCAGACATGCGTGTCGCTAACTGTAGGAAGGCGGCCGTTGACAAGTAGCGGAGCAACCTTTCTAAGCACGACGGCAGCGCCAATAGAGAAGTCCTTCCAAGACCAAATTTGATATGCCCTTTCCCAACCCGGCCCCGTCCAGCCAGCGCCATTTATGCCATGGTGAATTGGAGAAAACAGTGTGTTCTCCGCTCGGGATTCTCGAGAACGCCGCTAATGGTGATTTTGTCATGACCTCAGGTGGATGTAAGAGAATGTCTGGCGGGACGAGACCCGACAGAGACTGTATGAAAACACTGTCAACAACCTGTCAGTATCACGTCTAACAAGTGAAGAGAGGTGAAATACAAGTGAAGAGACGTTGTAAGCGCTTCGTACTGCCAATTGGTGCGCACCGGTAGACACAAATCTCTTGAGCCCTCGTTGCCGTAGTCGTCTTTCGGGGACGCTAACCTCTCAGTCGCGAGACTCGTGCCGTCGCAGGTGATGAGCAGGAAGCCGCATGCTTGTGTGAAGTCGTGGTCCTTTCCAGAATTTGGCAGCTCATGCGACTTCCAACTCCTCCCACTCGGTTTGCAAATCAACAGCGAGCTGAACGATGCCCATCGGCGGTAGCAAGACAGGAAGAACATACTCAGCTAGCATCACTAACGGCCTCAATTCCTGGGTCAAGCCAGAGGGTGTGCAAGGCGGCTAGTGTCCATGTCGTCTTGTATCTCTCGGGGTTCACTTCCCACATCGGACCGTTCGCTTCTCCGATGTAGCTCTTCTCCATCAGTTCCTTCTGGTTCTGACCGAATCAAGCGCCAGGCGGTCAGGTCGAGAGGTGCCTCAGTCTCATCAGAAGTGAGGCGGTTAAGTTCTGGAGAGCAGTGCTGGATGGGCATCATCGCGGCCAGTCCATGCAACCATTCCCTTGGTGGCTACCAGAGGTAGATAGCTAACGGCCGCCGCAGCTGGGTTCTCTGCGCGATTCTTGTATCGCAAGTAAAGGGGTTCAATACGGTCGCCATGTTCTTTAGCTTTCACTTCCAACGACGTCCGGGAGAAGCGGAGAGCTGCGATTCTCGAATTGGTCGTCTTATGTGAGACATATTGGAGAGCGCTGACGTCGGCTTGGGTCTATGTGAGGTTTGCGGAGGTATAGTCGTCCTTCGGCGACACAACCAGACCACGACTCTTCTTCGCGCCGCGGTAGATGGTCTCGATGATGTTTATCAGTTCCTACTTGTCTGTGAGGACCCAGTTGAGCTTATTGTTGTTGCCAGTGCCGAAATCGCACATCATATGCTTGTTGGGGAAGAACATGATGGTTATGGGGTCGTACAGTTTGTAGAGTACTTGAGTAGGTTATTATATATGAGGGTGTTATTGTAACGTAATCCACAAGTTAGTGGCCCGCACAAGCTAGTGGCCCACCCAACTCAACACGCGACGCGTCGTCCAACAACCACCCCAATGGCAGCACCACAACAACAAGAAGCCATCTTTCAAGAAGGCAGAGTTATTCTAGGCGTTCAAGCCTACAAGACCGGCCAAATTACATCCTTCCGAGGCGTTGAGAAACTATACGATGTGCCCAGAAAGACGGTTACGCGTCGCGCCCGTGGTATTCCTCCACAACGCGGTGCTATCTCCAAAAATCGCCGTCTTACACCTGTACAAGAAGAGGTTCTTGTA